CTTATACGCTTGTAATATGTTATACACCTTGCAAAGTCGTATATGTATTCTATCCCAAAACCTGTAAAGCCTCTATAGTATTCGTTCATGTATTGTTTGAGAGTCTCTTCCATTTTTGTTATGTAAAATATGTATTTATTATATGTTTTGCTAATAAAATTTAAAATTTTTCTTTCGTAAAAATTTGGTCCGAAAGATCGTCAGGAAGAGTTTCCACAACTGCAGATTTGTGTACATTAGATTAACTTAATAAATGATATTGGTTTTATTTACATATGTAGGAGCAGTAATCCCGCAGACCCGCACCCATAATAAAAATAGTTTACTATTTTTAGCATCACAATTTGGGGAAAGTTTACTTTATTTTTATCATTTATTAGTTGCGCGTTTTTTTCAAGTTTTTTTTATTTCTATAAGTAAAAATGTAATAATTTTATAACACATGATTTAATACTTTTATTTTCATGTTTTGATCTATTTATATTATAATATATTTTTTTCTTTATTAAATATAAAATATTACAATGAAACTAATTAAATAAAAGGTATTTTTCGTTAGAAATATTTGAAATATTTATAAAAAAATATTTTTATTAAAAAAACATAATATATTACACATAAAATATATAATCTGTCTCTTATACACATCTAGATGTGTATAAGAGACAGTCCTTGTACGATCTCTGGATGGTCGTGTATTCATTTTTTCGCATTTTTCTTAATTTCGGATAGAACCGAACTGAACCGGACGGTTCCGGTTCGGTTCCATTTCGGTTTTCGGTTCTACCCGAACTGCAAAAAAACCGAACCGAACCGACCCGTTCGGAGCTTTATTTCTATGTTTTGAGGCTTTAACTATTTTCTAAAATATTATTAAACTATTCGTGAAAAAAAGAAAAATACAAAACCTAAATGATGAAATAAATCATAAAAAGCATTTAAAATAAAGTTAAAAAATTTTTTTAAAAATCTTCAAAAGAAAAAAACTATACTTTTCATGGAAAATATCATAGTCATCTTGGATCAAATACTCTATTGACCTTCGATTGCTCGATCAAGTTCCAGTATTGCTTTTCCTAAAAAAAAAATTTTTAATTTATTAAAATTTTTTGGAATAATTTGTTCATTCTTTATCAGAATTTCCCTTTCTCCCTGCTTTTGCACAACACGCTTTTTGTTTTTATTAGTCTTTTCTTCATTGTCATCATCCGATATTTCCACCGCTTTCTTTTTCCCTTTATTTGATGGCAAGGTTGGCATTTTTTCCAATTCTTCAAGTCTTCCTTTAAAGGTACTGTTTAAATTATCCAATTCTTCGTGTTCTTTTAAAGTTCTTGGAATTGTTGAAATATGATCGGTTGGTGGCTTGGCGCTTCAACAAATTCATCCTTCTTTTTTTGTTGAGGAGTTTTGAATCTGTTGATTCCAAAACGTTTCTTGTATGTTCCATTTTCACCAATCAATTTATCCTGACTTTTTATCTTCAACCCATCTTTCATCCATTGTCGATTTGTAAATTGCCTTTAATAAGTCATTTTCATTGTTAAAATATATCAAAATATATTTAATTTTGTTTATTTTGATTATTTTTGAAAAATGGCCTCCGTATTTTTGATTCATTGTCTTCAAATTCTCATATTTTGGCATCCCTGGTAAATCATTAAATTTTTTATATGCTTGCCATTCATATCTTTTCTTTATGTCTGTAGGGCTCATTTTTTGCATCAAACATCCTAAAAAAAATAGTACTGATTGTTTTTTTTGATTGCTATATTGGATCCTCCTTTCATGAATTTTCATCCATTTCATTTGTTAGGCGAATTCGTGCTCAAACAGTTTTATATTTATAGTTCCATTCGACCTCTAATCTCTCTATATAGCCTACATTTTTTAAACTTTTGTATATTACCTCGTCCTTCCAATAAGCCAGAAAGTCATAAAATTTTAAGTCACGTGATCATTCGGCAAAATGTTCTTTCAAGTAATCATCGTCGGAAGTTATTTTAACTGGAATTTAAGTGATCTTCCCCTTTTTTATTTCTTGTGTAGATGATTTCTTTTTTTTGGATTTTCTGCACTGATCGTGGCTTTTTGTCTTACTTTTCTGCTTGCTTGATGCGGTAATCTTGCTCGTTGTCTCTATTTCTTCTAATTTTGTCACGTCATTTTCTAAGGATTTTATTCGTTCCTCTGCAATCTTTTTTTCCTTTTCTAAAATGTCTATCTTTTCTTTATCTTCCCTACTTTTGACTTTCAGAAGTTCTAATTCATCCTTCATTTTCGTTATATAACTACCCCAGCCACACCGGCAAAATTTTGCACACAGGGCCGCATTATGGCGTTATGCACTAACACGTGAAAATAAACAGTGACGAATAAGTTGTGATGAATAAGGTTTTACCTGCTCGAAAAAAACTAAGTCCCTCAGATAAATATAAACAGTGAAACTCGGATGGAGTGTGACGATGTGATGAATAAAAAGTGATCACGTGACTGTGCAAAAATTGCCGGTGCGACTGGGCTAGTTTTCGTTACATCTACTGCTGCGCCTTCTTTTACTGCGCCTTCTATGGAAATTCCCAGGAGTATTTTTTCTAAAATTCTTTTGATGGTTTCGCCGCCTAGTTTCATTGTAAAAACAGCGAAATCTATTAGAATATTTTCATTCATATGCATATGCCTGTCATTCCTTTCATCTCTTATTCCTATTTTTATGTTGCCTGGTGGAAATAATATATCTTCATCCAAATATTTCTTTTCATATTCTTCCAAACTTATACGCTTGTAATATGTTATACACCTTGCAAAGTCGTATATGTATTCTATCCCAAAACCTGTAAAGCCTCTATAGTATTCGTTCATGTATTGTTTGAGAGTCTCTTCCATTTTTGTTATGTAAAATATGTATTTATTATATGTTTTGCTAATAAAATTTAAAATTTTTCTTTCGTAAAAATTTGGTCCGAAAGATCGTCAGGAAGAGTTTCCACAACTGCAGATTTGTGTACATTAGATTAACTTAATAAATGATATTGGTTTTATTTACATATGTAGGAGCAGTAATCCCGCAGACCCGCACCCATAATAAAAATAGTTTACTATTTTTAGCATCACAATTTGGGGAAAGTTTACTTTATTTTTATCATTTATTAGTTGCGCGTTTTTTTCAAGTTTTTTTTATTTCTATAAGTAAAAATGTAATAATTTTATAACACATGATTTAATACTTTTATTTTCATGTTTTGATCTATTTATATTATAATATATTTTTTTCTTTATTAAATATAAAATATTACAATGAAACTAATTAAATAAAAGGTATTTTTCGTTAGAAATATTTGAAATATTTATAAAAAAATATTTTTATTAAAAAAACATAATATATTACACATAAAATATATAAAATATTCAAATGAAGAAAGAAAAAAATAAAAAAAACAAAGACTTAGAATATTTTATTTTTTTATTTTTTAACAAGAAAAAAAACAAAAAAAAACTCGGTTAACGCACATAACTTAAATAAATATTTTAAAAAGATCACGGGTGCAGGGTTACGTAGTAGTAGTGTAGTTATTTTTATCATTGTTTATATTATTCTATATTATTTATTTTCTTTATTTGTAATATTTATATTATATATGATTTTTATTAAGAGTCATTGTAGGATAATTAGCTCAATAGTTATTCACTGATAGAATATGTCATTTGTGTTCTATTAAAAAGTGGCTTATAATAAGGAAATATCACTATTGTAATCACTTAGTTACACTACGATGAAACAATAACAATCAAATAGATATGATGTCAATACTATATCCACAGATTAGATGTCATTTGATATCAGAAGAAAAAAAAGATGGAGAAATAGATATAAATATACCTTCTGCCAACTCGTTGATATAAGTCATATAGGTTATAATAAGATATATGAAGTTATATTAAGTCATATTCCCTTAAGTAATATACTTCCATCACCTTTTATCACTTTTTACTGTTTTGTTGTAAACTCATAACCTTACGTTTATTTAATAAAATCGGTAAACTTCAGTTTATTTTAACTTGTTGTTTCTGTGTATTATTATAAGATTCGTCTTATAACCGTCGTGTGCCAGTGTTCGGCAAATGACTTGAAATGAACAAATGACTCAAATGACAAGTCATTTGTCATTTGTCATTTGCAACTCAAATGACCTGTCATTTGAGTCATTTGAAAAATATTAAATATTCTGAGAATTTTTACTAATTATTTTGTTTATTTTAATTAAGAAAACAAAAATATTAAAACAAAATTGGTTTAATATATATAATCAAAAAAGTTCCAATAGTAGCTAGGGGATAGGTAAATAAACGGGGGGGCCAACTCAAGGTTACACAGGCTGATCAGTGATCGGACAGAACTGAAGCCTTATAAAACTGGTTACACAAGCGAAGCCTCGATATTAAAAATTTAGTTTTTTTAGTTTTTCTCGCCACATATACATAGAAAAGCAGCCGATCTCAAAAACTAAGACCATTTATGCTAGCTCTAAATAAACAAATTGTTTTTATCAAAATCGAACCACTGTAGCTTTGCAAGGGTTACTTTTTTTCTTGTTAATTTATAAAAACATATTGAAAAGTTATCATTTTATCGTTTCATGCTTTTATTGCGTGAATTTTGGCTTTAACAAGTACTTTATTCTGTAAATTTTGGCTTCGCTATATTACTATTCTACAAAAATTTGTCCTTTTGATATGGCTTCATTGGAGAAGGGAGTTTCTTTTTTAAGGTGATCCAAAATTAAAGGTATTAAACTTTTTTTTTTCTTGTACCTTGCTTTGTCCCCAAAGGCCTAAAGTAACCACTGTAACTCACTTACTAAAAACATTTTTGAAAATTCTTCTTCAGCGCCATCCAATTTTACCCAGATTTGAAGCTGTACTAATGCAAGAATAGGATCCTTTGGAACATTAGATTTTTTCATCAATGTATGTGTATTTTTAGTTTTGGAGGTTTTGGATGAATTTTGAATATCATTTCGCATGGCTTTCAGGTTTTCTCTAAGACTTGAGGTGCCTTTCTCAGGAATGAGATCATTGAATTTTCGCCAAGACTTTTGCCTACTCTTCATATAGATAGAAATAATTCGTTCGTAAAGAAAATTTTTAGCATCATCTTTTAATTCCTGTTTTTCAGGTTCATGTATAGAGAGCATTTGACTGGAAATATTAAGAAGTGCGTTAAAAGCTCCTAACAATAGTGAGTTGCACATTAAACTATTATTTATATAATGCAGAATATTGGGACCAAGTTCTTTGTGCTTTTCAAATAACAATATTATTAATGACTCCATTTTGTACATGAATTTTAAAAAATCTTGGCCTGGAACTACATTTGTCGTCTGTGATCGAACATCTTTTTCATAGACAACTTGTTCTGAGCTTAGAATCATGAGGTGAGCACGAATGATATCAAATTTGGGATGTGATCTTGTTATTTTATCACTTTTTGTTAATTTATATATAACCCATCCAATGATGTAAGAAAACTTTAATGCTTCAGCTGGTTCTAAAACAAGAATTTTTTCAGGTTCCAGATAAGAATCAGCCGAAAAATGAGTGTGTATACTATTTGGTGTTGTTTTCTTACTAAAAGTGAGTTTGATTACATTTTGTAAAAGTAAGTATGCAATAAGCCTTTGAGTTGGAGAATCATTTAAATTAGTTATAGAAAGAAAGTCTTGATACCAAATCCCTGAACATTGATAATTATTAAGATAAATTTCAAGGTGAGAACTCCAACTGGCTAACCATTGAATTCCTGTTTTTTTTGGAATAGCTTCACTCGCCATTTTTTTAATAATGTCTTGCCATTTATGTAGTAATTTATCAATAGAANGTCTTGTATTTTTCATGGATTTCTATTATGTCACTCGTTACCTTATCCTTTAAAGAGCGATACAGATTATTCCACTGGCTTTTTTCCGTGGGCATTTCCTCGAGGAGAAGAAGAACCTTACCCTGTAATTGCCCATTGAAACTTCCAAGAATCGTTTGAGGATCGCTGGTCTTATAAACGAGTTGAGTGCCTAGGACGCTTCGCTGAATGAAATCTGTTATAATTCCTTTGCCCCAACCCTGTCCAGATTTCAGGTAAAGGATCGAGTACATCTTCCTTTCAGCAGATACACCGGCTAACCACTTGATGATATACTCAGTGAGATTCCAATCACCTGAACACCAGATATCCTGAATGTGAGAGAAGATAAATTTAACCGCGAGGTGAATTGTAGACTCAAAGGTAGATATCTGACGTAAGATGTGGAGGAATCCCGGGAAGATATTTAGATAGAGTTGGCTGGTTAAGGATCTGAAGATTCGCTGTTTATGGGGATCACATGTTGCATTACATACATCGGTATTCTCGACCATAAACCACTTGTAGATGTTGAACTCGGTCTTTTGAGAGGGTCCTTGTTCAGGTTGTGTGTAGAATTTCTTTTTTATTGGACGGATAAGTTTACCAATATTTTTGTCAATAACGTGTTTCAAACTTTTACTATCCGGGTCCCACCAGAAAACCCCATGAGGATCTGCACAGAGAATGAAATAACTGCAAAGATACCTCTTGGCTTGATCGAGATCATTCATACTCTTTGCAGCGACAATAAACCGTTTAAGCTCATTGATACTGAAGGCTTTCGTTTGTTCACCGAACTTGGGGATAACTTGAGCTTGAGTGGTCATTTTTTGTTCTATCAAATCGAGTACTAATTTATAGTTACCTAATCTTCAATTGCCGAATATATTTTTTCCAAAGATCCGCGCTCCTACCCGGTTACCCTCCTGTGGTTCTACAGTCCTTCTAGGGGTTATTAACCTATCTGTTTACTCGATTTGCTATCTCACTGCCTCCAATAAGAAAACGAACGGAATCCTGAATCTGTTTCAGATGTTTCAGAAGTTTCGGATCTGGGGGGGTAAAATCAAAACTTTTTCTGGGAGGGTTGTCCTCGCCTGACTTTTACCAAAATTGCTGAAACATCTGAAACATCGAAACACCCTCTCTGATTCTTTCTTATTTTCCTCTCTTTTCCCTTATTTTATCCTTTTTTGCTTATATTGTTATGTTTCAGATCTTGTTTCATATTGTTTCAGATGTATAGGGATTCCCCGCCTCACGGAGGAGGGATGTAAGTACTGCGAGGCCGTGAGGCCGAGGTGGCAGAACGCAGTGACGACACTACCAGCCTGACGACACAGGCTGATCAGTGATCGGACAGAACTGAAGCCTTATAAAACTGGGGAAAATCTTACCACACCACCCTCGGTTACACAGTGACATTTAGCGTCACATTGTCACGTGATTAAGGTTGCTTGCCGAAACCTAGGGGTTTAGGCAAGATGGCGTTTCGCCGAAAAGCGAAATTCTGCCAAAACTATATTAAAGTTATATTAAAAAACTGGCGAAACTTTGGAGAAAGGCGAAACTGCCGAAACTTATTATAAATGCCGAAACTGCTGAAACTCTGCCGAAACTATAATAAATCTATAGTAAAATTTTGATGAAACTAATCGTAGGATTTTGAAGAGGTTTAGACAAGCAACCTTACACGTGATATCCGCGTTCGCATTTTTTATATTTATCTGAGGGACTTAGTTTTTTTTACTAGCCTGATCCTTATTTGTCACAACCTCAGAAATCACACCCCAACAAATATTTTGTGTAACCGAGGGTGGTGTGGTAAGACTACCCTAAAACTGGTTACACAAGCGAAGCCTCGATATTAAAAATTTAGTTTTTTTAGTTTTTCTCGCCACATATACATAGAAAAGCAGCCGATCTCAAAAACTAAGACCATTTATGCTAGCTCTAAATAAACTAATTGTTTTTATCAAAATCTTACCACTGTAGCTTTGCAAGGGTTACTTTTTTTCTTGTTAATTTATAAAAACATATTGAAAAGTTATCATTTTATCGTTTCATTCTTTTATTGCGTGAATTTTGGCTTTAACAAGTACTTTATTCTGTAAATTTTGGCTTCGCTATATTACTATTCTACAAAAATTTGTCCTTTTGATATGGCTTCATTGGAGAAGGGAGTTTCTTTTTTAAGGTGATCCAAAATTAAATTTATTAAACTTTTTTTTTTCTTGTACCTTGCTTTGTCCCCAAAGGCCTAAAGTAACCACTGTAACTCACTTACTAAAAACATTTTTGAAAATTCTTCTTCAGCGCCATCCAATTTTTCCCAGATTTGAAGCTGTACTAATGCAAGAATAGGATCCTTTGGAACTTTAGATTTTTTCATCAATGTATGTGTATTTTTAGTTTTGGAGGTTTTGGATGAATTTTGAATATCATTTCGCATGGCTTTCAGGTTTTCTCTAAGACTTGAGGTGCCTTTCTCAGGAATGAGATCATTGAATTTTCGCCAAGACTTTTGCCTACTCTTCATATAGATAGAAATAATTCGTTCGTAAAGAAAATTTTTAGCTTCATCTTTTAATTCCTGTTTTTCAGGTTCTTGTATAGAGAGCATTTGACTGGAAATATTAATAAGTGCTTTAAAAGCTCCTAACAATAGTGAGTTGCACATTAAACTATTATTTATATAATGCAGAATATTGGGACCAAGTTCTTTGTGCTTTTCAAATAACAATATTATTAATGACTCCATTTTGTACATGAATTTTAAAAAATCTTGGCCTGGAACTACATTTGTCGTCTGTGATCGAACATCTTTTTCATAGACAACTTGTTTTGAGCTTAGAATCATGAGGTGAGCACGAATGATATCAAATTTGGGATGTGATCTTTTTATTTTATCACTTTTTGTTAATTTATATATAACCCATCCAATGATGTAAGAAAACTTTAATGCTTCAGCTGGTTCTAAAACAAGAATTTTTTCAGGTTCCAGATAAGAATCAGCCTAAAAATGAGTGTGTATACTATTTGGTGTTGTTTTCTTACTAAAAGTGAGTTTGATTACATTTTGTAAAAGTAAGTATGCAACAAGCCTTTGAGTTGGAGAATCATTTAAATTAGTTATATAAAGAAAGTCTTGATACCAAATCCCTGAACATTGATAATTATTAAGATAAATTTCAAGGTGAGAACTCCAACTGGCTAACCATTGAATTCCTGTTTTTTTTGGAATAGCTTCACTCGCCATTTTTTTAATAATGTCTTGCCATTTATGTAGTAATTTATCAATAGAATCCTGGTAAAGTATAGTTTCTATAAGATTACATCGTTCCTTTTGAAAGAAAGCAATTCTAACATTTTCTTGATTAACGTGTTCATCATGTGATTCTAACGGAATCTCAATTCTCCCCATAATCAAATTGTCTGCGATAAGGTTTTTAAAGACATTACTATAAAGAGATGATAATTGTGCCAAACGGATAAAGTGCTTCTGATCGGTAATATTTTCATCATTTTTTACTGAAATTTTTTTATCTTTTCGATAGTCTCTAATTGTTAAATAATATTTTAGATAATATTTGTATGAATAGGGACAATTGCGTACAAGTAAGGATATTTGTTAAATAAAATTATAATATATACCTTCTTTCTAATGTAGTAATGCCAGCTCTAGTACTATCAGCTTTTCCATAATTAATACTTTTTACTTCAGATGAAACTAATGCTGTCACTTGATATTTATTTAGAGCATGTCCATAAGATTTGAGAGTATGTGTTGAGGAGTCCCTACCAAGTTCACGAATATTACCAAAAAGCTCTTCAAGCATATCTTGTGAAATGCGTCTTGGTTGAATCATTGAACCTGGATACTTTTTCAAAAAATAGTTAATCATTCCAAGAAATCCATTAATAGATAAAATCAAATCAAATTGGCATTGTGATGAAATCCATTCTTTAGGATCTTTTTTTTGTTTATTACCATCTACAAACCAATTATATATTTCTTTTAAAGTATTAATACGTGGATCTTCTAAAGATTGAAAACTGATTTTACTATGCATAATTTGACGATATTTTCGTGAATATTTACTAAATTCCTATAAAAAAAGTAAATATTTTAAAAATTATAAAATTATATTAATTGTAATAATTATTTTGTACTTACTCTTGTTCCTTCTGAGATTTTTTTAAGTTCATCAATAGATGCCAATGCATCTTCAACTTCTTTTGATATAGTATGTTCTGCAAGATCAACACGCATCTTGCTCCATGAAGTTAACCATATATGATGTTTTGTAAGTTTTGTAGCTTGAGCTGTTGCATGTTTAATTGTATGATCATATACGCCTTTTATGTGCTTCCAACTAATCTCCTTTCCATTAAACATTATTTCTCTGGAATTTTTTTCATCTATATGGCTTTTTGATAAGTTATTTCTTAATTTCTTAAATACATGTGTAGGATCACTAATAAAGAACCAATCTTCTCCAGTAATAGGATTTATTGTTTTATAATTTGTTGAAAGTCATTCAATATCATGAACAGGTCGAAGAAATTCACTAATATGATGATTAAAAACTTGCCATTCTTCAATAGGTTTATTTTTTGATCCAGGAATTTCTACAGTAAATATTGATGTAATAGAATCAAAATTTGTAATTTTTCCTAAATACCATTGATTATCTTTTGGATTTTTAAATTCACAAAATTCATTAATATTCCATTCTGATTTTAAAGGTGTTTGTGGACGAATAAAAGCTCGATCAATTGTAATTTTTGTAAAACTATCCCAATCAAGCTGACGTACAGTAAACTTTTTCTTTTCAAAATTGCTATCTACAATTTCTGCTACATGATAAGATTTTTTGTCTTTTCTGAAATTAACTTCTACAAGATCACCAGATGACCACTTTGATGCATACCAATCAAATCTTTTGATATGGTTTCTATTTTCACCTGCTCCATCACAAATTGAACCAATTGTATGTATACCTATACATTCTAATTTTGCTGCAAGACTAAAAATCAATGTGTTTAAGTTATGTGCTGTCATATTATTAATGCCATAATATGATATAGGAAAAGAAAAATTATGAGTTATTGAATGCCAAACAAATTGGTGAACTTGAGTTGCAAGTTTGCGATCCTGTTTTTCAGATATAGAATTAGATAGGGAATTCTTTTCTTTTAATATTTCATGTTGACATTGTATGGCAAATTCTTGATATTCTTGCATTTCATTTTCAAAATCCAAATAGTCTACATAACAATTTTCACGTTGACTCCAAAGAAGACCTATAATTTCAAATAATTTATTTCAAAGTTAGTTATATGTATTTGTTTAAAAACAGTTAAAAATAAATAAATAACCTTTTTGAATTTTAAATGAATCATGTGAAAAAAACCCTATTCATCCATATCCCCAAACTTTATTTGTTGTTAAACTTGCTAACATTTGATGAGCAATTTTGTCTTGCCATCCCGAACATTGTTCATTTTCATTTATGTAACTTTTAAGTGTGGAGATTGATGGTAAATGCATAATTGTTTTCATTGCATTATAAGCCGCATATCCAGATTTACTATATACAGATATAGCCCAGCGCAAAAACCTGCAATAAAGAAATATTAAATTTTTTTTTTGCAAATGAATTACCATTATTTGTTTTACTTACATTGGATGATATCTTGTTCCATTCAGCTTTTTTGCTTGAATGTGAATAAGTTCTTGAAAAATAGGATGCAAGTTTGAAATATCTACATTTTTGCTAGCAATATTTTCAGAAACAGTATGAACAACATTTGCAATTTTAGTTGACACTTGTATTTCTTCTTTTTCTATTTTTTCTTGCAATCGTTCTTTTATATTTGAGATTGTTTAATTTTCAATTTAATAATTTTTCGTTGTTCATTAACTTTTTCTGCAAGAACATCTTTAGATGCATGTATGACTTTCATAGAATTTATGCCAGCCAAATATCTTCGACGAATTTGCTGCATTGTTTTTTGTAATTTTTTACAATTCTTACACATATCATTATTATTTTCTGCCACAAGTATGCAGTCTATACGTCAGTATGCTTCACCTGGTTGACCTTGTTTTTCCAAAAAAGCAAAAGGAACGTGCTCTTTATTGCTAGTTTGTGCATTATTAATAAGCTGAGTTCCTCGAATGTATACTACATCACTAAAACCTTAAATTTCAAAATATTTGTTTAAAAAAATATATATACATATATAAAATTATATAGTAATAACTTTTAAATTACCATTAGTGTTTTGTCCATAACAAATTCTAAGAGAAAAAATATATTGTGTAAGGATTTTTATTTCGTCAAGAGATCTTTTCATTGGTTTGGCAGGAAAAGGAAGATGTGCTTCTTGTAATATTTTATCAAAAACACAAACTTCATATCCAAGTAAAACACCTTTAGCTATAATTATCATTTTCTTCTCTAATTGTCCCTCTCTTCCAAAAAAATGAAACTCAAGACCATCAGTAATTTTTTGTACTATAGTTCCCAAAAATATTCCCTCTAGAAAAATCTTTTTTTGAATTAACGAAAAAATTTCCTCAAGACTTGTATACGTAGATGTTTTCCAGTATGAAGAATAATTTGATTCACCAAGAATTGATGCAATTGATGGGCTATTAGGATTTGGTTCCAAAAAAATAGTTGCAAAAGCTGACCTATGTCCTTTAAATAATCTTAAATTTTTTAGTGCAGTTATCCATTTAGAGAAAGTATCATACTTTCGATCATTCTTAACACTGTATATATAAGCTTTTTTTTCCTTTGCGTCAAACATTATCACGCCCTCAAAGTATTTATCCAATGCCGGGAAAAAATAAACGGTTTTTCCTTTGAGATCAGGCCTGATATGCACAAGTTCTTGCAGTGTTTCTATCTTTTTTTGCTTTTTTACTGGTGGGGAATCACTGGTACCCTTAAAAGATCGTTTTTCTTGATTCTGTTAGTCATAGAAATATAAAAATATTACAATTTATTTCAAAAAAAAATAGTAACAGCGTTAGTTTCTTTTTGCAANAAAATAATGACCTTCGTTACTATATTTTAATGAACATTTAGTCATGATTTAGATCCTTTAGATGATTATTTATGTATTAATATGACCTAAGATAATAATAAATTCAGTATTTAGATACGTAAATTATTCTTAATTTTTTTAGTTTATGTAATTAATTTTCGTATCTCTTGTTAACAATAGTACCAACGCACTGCAGTATGTGGTTCAAATTTGTTTATAAAAAAAGCTGGTTGATACCGTTTTCAATGTTAAAAATGACGAATAGGGCGTTATGAATAGACTTTATTAAAGTCTAAAAAATGAGATGCAAAATTGCAAATTATCACGTGATATTTCGTTCATTACTGCGGAATTATCCAATTCTGTCGTTTTTTAATACCTTTTGAGTGATTCAAAAATCACGTATAGTTATCTATCGAGAACTTTATTTTATTTATCATAATTCCGTCAAATTATTTATTCACTATGTCCGACCATATCAAAATGCAAGATACAGAAAATGCGAATGAATGAATTAATGGATTTGAAGAAATTATTGTTAAAGAACCGATACAGAACAATTTAGTAATTCTCAACAAATTAGAATACCTGGCGGTATTCACGTGTGATGCTTCAGCGAAAGAAAAATAGGGAATATTACTCACTTTCTAGGTAATTAGTTCAAGTCATTCTGTATCCCCTCATAGATTCTAATCAATTGAAGATCTGCTGAATCGTTAGAGGTACTATAAAATTTAATTAGGTATATAGCTGTCTCTTATACACATCTAGATGTGTATAAGAGACAGATTATGAATTGTCCAATAATCTTTAAATATTTTAATGACAAATGACCAAATGACAAAGGACGCAAATGACAGTCAAATGATACCCAATCATTTGGCATTTGTCATTTCGCGAATAATTCAAATGCCAAATGCCAAATGATGGGGTGTCATTTGACCAAATGACTCCTAATCCGAAAAATGGTCAAATGACCAGGTCATTTCCGAACACTGTGACGTGTGCTATTATTAATCGTATTTTATAGTTGTTTACCTTGCCGATTCTTAATGAACAATACCGGAATACCAGGATAGGTAGTATTGAGTAAGAATCCCGTTGGTAATTTACGATATAAAACTGCTAGCTATATGACTCTTATTTACTGATATAACCGGTAACATAACTAATTATTTGAATACTGAGGATAATGAATCTTACTTAATGTTGATTCTTTTTTTTAAAAAGAATAAATGCATTTATATAATAATTCAATTAATAAAAAAATTAATAAAAAAATTCCATCATAAATCTCTTTTTTATAATTCACAATTTGTTCGTTAGATTTTTAACAAAGATTCGTTTACTAATATCTTTCACTGATGAGTTACTAGATATTTAAATTTTAATTCACATGAATTAAATAACTTTATATCATTAATAATAACCCGGAAAAATTATGTATAGTTCGAAATTTTTTTTTGAAATTTTAATACTATTACTAGGAAACGAAATTGTTATTAAGTCCGAAGTGCTGTTTAAAGTTTTATTATTGTATATCGTCACAAAGTCACGTGCTAGACGAACTTCCCGAGTCCGGTGTAGGCCGTAAAGACGTTGCCACCATAAATAAATTTTATTATTTGATAAAAATTATAACAAATCCCGAGTTTCATAATAAAATATACTATTAAAATGAAAATTTCAAGAAAGAAAATAATTCGTAAGTCTAATTTCTAAAAAATTATTAATTACTATATTTAAGAAAGAAAATAACCAATTAAACCAATGATTCCCTTTTTAAACTCCCAAAAAAAAAACCAATTAAAACAATATCTGCTTATTTCGAAATCTCATAAATTATTCGTTCCATCCGATTATGGTGTAGATCATTTCCGGTAATCACGCCACAGTTAATAACCAATAAAAATCCAAGAATAGTTAGACGTCATTACGGACGCAGTACATTTAAAATACTTCAAATTTTTATACACTTAAAAACTAAATATAACACTGCGCCAAAAACTAATAATTTTACTAGGTAATTTGGAAATTACTAGTTTAAAATAGTTAAAATTGTTAATATTTAATGAGTGACACGCTCCAGGGGATTACTCATTTATTTCCAACTCCCTATGAAAAATTAATATAATTACTGCGGTACTGCGGCTAATATAGTAGACTTGATGGTCAGAAAAATTTTTTGTTTGGTGATACCTAGCAACATTGTGCGACAAATAATCGGAAAATAAATTGCATAAAATACTTAAAATGGAATTATTTTTGTACGCAATAAATTTTACAACTTTGACCGTTCAATCTTATTGTTTTTAAAAACTATTCTGTCTATTATTATTATTTAATATGTCTGATAATAAGCAAATGCAAAATACCGAAAATACAAATGAATGGATTAATTGGATTGAAGAAGCTATTGTTAAAGAACATTTAAAATATTACGAATACAAAGAATTTAGTAACTTTCAAGAAATTGGTACCGGAGGTTTTGGAAAAGTGTATCGTGCAAAGTGGAAAAACTTAGAAAAAAGTTTTGCCTTGAAATCTTTTTTTAGTCTTAATAATATCACTATGAAAGAAATTGTTCGTGAGGTAATTTAATATTATAATTAATTTTTTTTTTTTTTTTTAACATCCCTTATCAATTTATAATAATGTTAATTTTTTTTTTTTTTTTTTTTAGAAAATCATCTTAATAATAATTATATGTTGGTAATAGAATACGCTGACGGTGGCAGTCTTCGAAATTATTTAAAGGAAAATTTCGGTGAACTTACCTGGGACGATAAGTACCTTATGGCGTATCAGTTAGCTTGCGCAGTATCATGCTTGCATGATGAGAAGATTATTCATCGTGACTTGGTAATTATTATTTTAGTCATTTTTAGGTAATTCAATGTTTGTATTTATTCATTTAGCACGCACTCTTTAATAGCACTCTGGCAATATATTAGTCCATAAAAACACGATCAAATTAGCGGATTTTGGTCTATCAAAAAGAATTGGAGCATCGTCCAACTTTCAATCTAAATTATTTGGGATGGTTCCTTATGTTGATCCAAAAAGTTTTAGCAGACGAAGAAATAATAATCAAATGTTTACATTAAATGAAAAAAGTGATGTTTACAGTGTTGGCGTATTATTATGGGAAATTTCTAGTGGACAACCTCCTTTTTATGCTGAAGATGAACATTATGACGTTGGATTAATTTATGACATTTCACAAGGTCATAGAGAAACGGTTGTTCCCGACACCCCCGAAGATTATATAAAAATTTATACTAGTAAGTAAAATTAATTTAAATCTAACTAGAGCTATTATTTTAATAAATTTTAAATTATATTTTTAATTGTTTTAGAATGTTGGGACGGTGAGCCTGATAATCGACCTACTATTTATCAAGTAGTTGATTGGTTAAAAGCAAAGATTACAAAAACAGATATAATAACGGAAAATCCTCAATTATCAGATGAACAAGAACTTAATGAGGTTCCTTTAAGCACCAATAATTCAGAATCACAAGGAGATTTATCTCAACTTATCCAAAATTTTAATAAAATGAATACAAAAGAAATTGATAATATAGTAGTATCAAGTGAGCAAGAGATACTTTTAAATGAAAAGGATTTAAAGGATTTTAACAGAAAAGATTTTAGCATTATAGTTGATGAAATAAATGATTTAATTTATAAATTATGTAATAAAGGAATTGAATGGAAATTAGTAAGAGAGCAAGTTATTGAATATTTTAATAATTATAATACAAATTCACAAGAAATTAATAATTGGTTATTAAATAATCAAAATAATTCAAATTCCATTTTTTTACTTGGATATTTTAATTTTTATGTAATTGAGACAAGCCGAAATTATGAGAAAGCATTTAAATTATTTATTAATTCATCAGAAAAAAATCATATATTAGCACAATCTTTTGTTGGTGGATGTTATCAATATGGAAATGGAACTAAAAAAAATGAAAAGTTAGCTTTTAAATATTTTGAAAAATTAGCTAATAAAAATTTCACACATGGACAACTTAAAATTAGTTATTGTTATGAAAATGGAATAGGTATTGAAAAAGATTTAAAAAAGGCTTTTTATTGGTATGAAAAAGCCGCAAATAATGGAAATATATTAGCTAAGCATAATCTTGGTCTTTGTTATAAAAATGGAAAAGGGGTTGAAAAAGATTATAACAAAGCTTTTGAATTGTTTAAACAATCAGCTGATGGAGGATATTTAGGTGGAATAACAATGTTAGGAAATTGTTGTTTTTATGGTATTGGAACTAAAATTGACAAGCAAAAAGCATTTGAACTATGTCAAAAATCAGCGAATTTAGGACAAATGGTAGGACAATCTAATCTTGCTTTGATGTATGAAAGTGGAAATGGAATTATAAAGGACATGGATAAAGCGATTTATTGGTATGAAAAATCTGCCAAACAAGGTTATCAGGATGCACAAAATAGATTAGAAATACTTCAAAAAAATAAATAATTTATAATAAATTCTTTCTTATTAAATCGTAAAATGTAAATCAATTAAATCAATTAAATTTGCTAAATTATTTTTTTTTATTTTATAGAATAGTGTATACTAAGATATAATAAATAAAATCTTATCAATATTTATAATCATCCTTAAGTAATTACAAGTATTTTTTTTTATCAAGTTAATATGTATATTTTTCTTATAAATTAAAATGTCGTTCTAGGATTTACAAAACTCATGAGGGTTTAATTCATTTTTCCGAAAATTTAATTGTTAAAATTATTGATGCTTATTTTTTGGCACTATTTTTTGAAATGATCTCATATATGAAAGAAAATACAATGAAGTATGATGGTAATTAAGGAAGTGCTTTTTATATTATATAAAGCAAAAAAAAAAAAATTAATAATTTAGATCTTTTATGTAAAAGAAATATTTTTATAAAATATAAAAATACTTGTATTATAAATCACTTATATTACTGTACGATATTGATTGTTAAGCATTTGTCAACCATATGATGGTAAACTTAAAATCAATGAATACCTGCTTAAACTACATCAATCTAAATTTCTCATGATGTTTAAAATAAGAAGCAGAATGATGGCAGTATTGCGATTTTGATGTTTCATTTAATTGTTAATAAGTCGAATAAAAGAAATACCCGGTTTGTTAGTCTTTAAAAAGGTAACAATAAGTATTTGAGAAATGAAAATGTCACAATGAATCCAGGGTATAGGACTAAACGATCGTCATTACTAGCTGGTAACAAAGCAACTGAAAATGTTTTCTATCTTTGAAAATATTAGCTGTTAAGTAAACAACTTGAGAGAAATTGGTAAATTTACGACAATATGTTCAAACGTCCTTCACCAATCACCATCTGGTTTTTTAAGCCAATTTATACTCTCAAGTTGAAAATATTATTCTATATATTATTATTATTATCATGGTCTTGCATTAAATTAATAGATAAGTTCAAACTAACGAGCCCTAGTACAAAGTTTGTGCCACATAACTTATCGATGTTCTCTTTAAACTAATGTATATTTGTATGGTTATCATAGTTATCGATAATAGGATATCGAATAATCAACCAACTTCAATTAGAAAATGTACCTAATTATTTATTATTAGACTACTAAAGATATAAGCTTACATAATTTTGTTTTAAAAATAATTACGCAATATTACCCAAGACCTACTTAAAGACGACATTGATTTTTTTCACATAATAATAATTTATACATTAAAAATTCATTACAAATTACTTAATAATTATATAATTATCATATTATATAAGTCATTTTCTGTTCATAAATGTTTATTTATTTCGAGCATCTTGATCTCCTTGTTTGACTGATTTTTCATATTAAAGTATCGCTTTACCAATATTTTTCGTTACTCCTTGTCCTATTTTAGTTCGTATGATTTTAAAAGATTAGGTATATTGAGCTGCACTATTTCCTAAATTTGCGACTTTTTGATATTATTCAAATTTCAAATTCATTTTGTCTATCAGTCAAATTGAAATAATATTGAAATGATCTCTGAATACTCGATATATACGTATATATATCAGGAAAAAGAAAAAAATACATAGCTGATAATAATTATCTAATATTAAGCGAAAACTAAAAAATTTATGTTTATTTAGCGGCATAATCTTCTAAAAGTTTGATTATTTTTGATAAACCAATATTTGCTAACTTGATTGTGTTTGATTGACAGGCTCATTGACCAATATATTACTAGAGTATTATTAAATAAATATAGTATATATTTTATATAAATACCGTAAATAACATAATTATATAGATAACGATTTGTCATACAATTTCTCCATTATATAACATAAGTCCAAAGTCAATTTTAGAATAAATAATGATGTCATCAATTTCACTATATCTATTTGTTTCTTTTAGTGGTCAAAGATAGAGTAGCTAGAGTTATATTATTTAAGATTATACAAATTTATTAAAGTACCAAATTTAGTAACAAATTTATATCAATATAATTTTTTAAGTATTTATAATCTACCTATTTAGTCGAAACCTCGAAACCAAGCCAATGCGACCCGCCGAAATTTAATCAAAGCTAGATTTTATTTCCAGCTTAGATTTATTAAATCTCTATATTTTCGATTTATTTTTATTAATGTTATTCAATTTTTCCTTCTATCTCTTTCATCCTTTGTATCATAAATACATTTCTGATTTTTTCAAATGTGATGTCGTAAAGAGGCGTTAATTATTAATATTCTCTTGTTTTTTAATGAAAAAAAAAGGTAACATACTCTAAAATTTAAAATGCGAAAAAAAAAATTGAATTGTGTCCTTTAGCAAACAAAATAAATAAATTTATTTTATAGATACAGTATATTGAGTGCATAAATTTTGGTATGTATTAGAATCAAAATTTATTTGATACATTTTTTTTAATCTTTTTATGGTTTATAATCACACAAATATTTATACTTTTTTTTCGCTTTTTTTTAATATCCATTTAATTTCATACTTTTTATCAATATGATAATGAATTTTTGACTTGGAAAATATTTCAAAGCATAGTGATTTTAGCGATAATGATAGTTTGGAATACACTTCTTTTTAATAAGAATTAAATATTTCACCAAAGTTGCATTTTAACATAATAAATTGACCATATCTGAAAGGTATTTGTATTTTGGAAGGCCAAAAAAAAAGTTCAAGACCGAAAGAAACAGACAATATTATACCATTGTGAAACCGAAAATTATATTACTATAAATATATCCAAAATAATGACCTTCGTTACTATATTTTAATGAACATTTAGTCATGATTTAGATCCTTTAGATGATTATTTATGTATTAATATGACCTAAGATAATAATAAATTCAGTATTTAGATACGTAAATTATTCTTAATTTTTTTAGTTTATGTAATTAATTTTCGTATCTCTTGTTAACAATAGTACCAACGCACTGCAGTATGTGGTTCAAATTTGTTTATAAAAAAAGCTGGTTGATACCGTTTTCAATGTTAAAAATGACGAATAGGGCGTTATGAATAGACTTTATTAAAGTCTAAAAAATGAGATGCAAAATTGCAAATTATCACGTGATATTTCGTTCATTACTGCGGAATTATCCAATTCTGTCGTTTTTTAATACCTTTTGAGTGATTCAAAAATCACGTATAGTTATCTATCGAGAACTTTATTTTATTTATCATAATTCCGTCAAATTATTTATTCACTATGTCCGACCATATCAAAATGCAAGATACAGAAAATGCGAATGAATGAATTAATGGATTTGAAGAAATTATTGTTAAAGAACCGATACAGAACAATTTAGTAATTCTCAACAAATTAGAATACCTGGCGGTATTCACGTGTGATGCTTCAGCGAAAGAAAAATAGGGAATATTACTCACTTTCTAGGTAATTAGTTCAAGTCATTCTGTATCCCCTCATAGATTCTAATCAATTGAAGATCTGCTGAATCGTTAGAGGTACTATAAAATTTAATTAGGTATATAGAACCTATGTTTTAGTGTTTCCGTGTTTTTTTCATGTTTTTCATGCATGTCTTTACTTGAATAAAAAATATATATAATAATAATTTTCAATTTACCATTTTATATTGTATTTTTTTTTAAAAAATGTAAAAAAATAACAATTTTTCGATATTTATTTATTTGAATACCAAGAATAAAAATGATTCCACATATAATTACACACAATTTAATATTGATTTTTTTTTTTTTAATTAAAAAAAAAAATTTTTTTTTTATTTAATAATTCAAATAGAAAATTTACTTAATAATTCTGTCTATTTTTCTACTCATAAAAATTAATTTATTCGAGCTTCTTGATTTTCTTATTTGGCCAATATTATCATTCGCTGATCGAGCTGCTAAATATTTTAAAATTTTAATTTAACTTTTTTTCGAACTATACATGTTTAATGACATAATTTTTTTTGGCAATTTAATTACGTAATTACTGCGGTACTGCGGTTAATTTCTTATTTGGTAATACTAAATGACAATGTACGACAATTAATCGGAGAATAAGTGCATAAAATTTCGTCTATAAATACCGTACATTATATTTTTTATCAAAAAAAAAAAAATNAAAAAAAAAAAAAATACATTAAATTTTATCTTTTAAAAACTTTTATAAAACTTTTCAATCAATTATTATTATGTGTGATAATATCAAAATGCATGATACCGAAAATAAAAATGAATGGATTGATTGGATTAAAGAAGTTATTGATAAGGAACATTTAAAATATTATGAATACAAAGAATTTAATAACTTTCAAGAAATTGGTACCGGAAGTTTTGGAAAAGTGTATCGTGCAAATTATAAAAATTTTGAAAAAAATTTCTCTTTGAAATCTTTTTTTGGTTTAAACAATATCACTATGAAAGGAATCGTTCGTGAGGTAATTTAGTATATATATATATATAATATTTATTTATTTGTTTATTTATTTATTTTTTATTATTTTATAATTTATATTCTATTATATTTATTTCATAAACTTTGAATTTATTTTAGTTAAAAATTCAACGTGAAATTGATTTTCATGAAAATATTATTCGTTATCATGGAGTAACAAAATTTGAATCAGGTATTTTGAAGTATACAGTACTTTAATGGTTTTTATTAACAAAATTGTATATTAATGATTTCTTTTTTTTAGAAAATCGGATCAATGACAATTATATGCTAGTAATGGAATACGCCGACGGTGGTAGTCTTCGAAATTATTTAAAGAAAAATTTTAGTAAACTTACCTGGGATGATAAGTACCTTATGGCGTATCAGTTAGCTTCCGCTGTATCATGCTTACATAATAAAGGGATTGTCCATCATAACTTGGTAATTTATTTATTATTATTTAATGGTTGTGATAATGTTATATATTCAACTTTGTTTAATTAATATATATATTTTAATAGCACCCTGGTAATATATTGGTTCATCAAAACACAATCAAATTGGCGGATTTTGGATTATCAAAAAGAAATGGAATATCATCCAATTTTCAATCCAAATTATTTGAAATGATTCCTTATGTTGAACCAAAAGGTTATAGTGGGAGAACAAATAACAATAATCAAACACGAATACAATCCTTTAATAAGAAAAGTAATGTTTACAGTATTGGTGTATTATTTTGGGAAATATCCAGCGGTCAATCTCCTTTTAATGCTAAAGTTGAACAATATGATGTTGGTTTAATTTTGGAAATTTCGCAAGGTCTTAGAGAGACTGTTATTCCCAACACACCTGAAGAATATACAAAAATTTATACTAGTAAGTATATTTGATTATAATTTGAATATTTATTTCAATAATAAAATTAATTAAATTAAATTTTTTTATTTAGAATGTTGGGATGGTGAACCGGATGATCGACCTACCATATACCAAGTAGTAGATTGGTTAAAAGCAATTATTACAAAAACAGATGTTAATGAAATCCCTTCAAATACCAATAATTCGGAATCACAAGAATTTATTTCTAGAATTATTCAAAATTTTGACAAAATAAGTCTGAAAGAAATTGATCCTATAACAATATCAAATGAACGAGAGAAACTTTCATTTGAAAAAGGTTTTGATAAAATAATTGATGAAGTAAATGATTTGATTTTTGAATTATTTAATAAAGGAATTATATGGAAATTAGTAAAAGAACAAGTTATTGAATATCTTAATAATTATAATACTAATTCAAAAGAAATTTATAATTGGTTATTAAATAATCAAGATAATTTAAATTTCACTTTTTTACTTGGATTTTTTAATTATTCAGGAATTGAAACAAAAAAAAATAATGAGAAAGCATTTAAATTATTTATTAAAGCATCAGAAAAAGATCATATATTAGCAAAATCTTATATTGGTGAATGTTATCAATATGGATATGGAACTTTAAAAAATGAAAAATTAGCTTTTGAATATTATCAAAATGTTGCAGATAAAAATTTTACTCATGGACAATTAAAAATTGGATATTTTTATAAAAATGGAAAAGTTATTGAAAAAGATTTAGAAAAAGCTTTTTATTGGTATAAAAAAGCTTCAAATAATGGAAATATTTTTGCTATGCATAATCTTGGTAATTGTTATTTAAGTGGTGAAGGTATTGAAAAAGATTATAATGAAGCTTTTGAATTATTTAATCAATCAGCTGAAGGAGGTTATTCAAGTGGAATGACTTCATTAGCATATTGTTGTTATAATGGTATTGGTACTAATGTTGATAAACAAAAAGCATTTGATTTATATCAAAAATCTGCAAATTTAGGTAGTATGACAGCACAATATAGTCTTGGTATTATGTATGAAAATGGAAAAGGAATTACAAAAGATATAGATAGAGCTATTTATTGGTATGAAAAATCTGCCAAACAAGGTCATCAAAAAGCACAAAAAAGATTAAAAGCACTTCAAAAAAATTAATTATTCTTAGAATTTGTTGTAGTTTTTTTTTTAAAAAAAAAATTTACATATATAATGAATATCATGTATATATTTTAAGATAAAGATGGACTTAATAGAATTTAACAATCAGTATTTTTAATTATTCTTAGAATTTGTTATAGTTTTTTTTTGAATATCATTGTATTTTAAAATATAATAAAGGTGGTCTTAATAGAATTTAACAATCAGTTTTTTTTTTCATTATTAAATAAATAAATATTATTTTCACTTCGAATTACAATGTCATTCTAGGGTTAATAAACTAATCCACATCAAATTATTCACAAAATTTAAATTACGGTGGCACTTTGATTTTAATATTTTCAATAAATTTCATTCATCAATATTAATTCTATCGGTGCTGCAATAATGAAATAAATTTAACCGAAAACTGAAACCAGAAATTCAAGACATAGGATCAGAAAATTATCATTAACGTAGAAAGCGAAATTTGCGAACAATTAGTGTATTTATAAAAAATAAATGCTTGAATGATAGACTGATTCAATAATGACGCGTTAGGTTTTCTTCATCAGTGTTTTGTTAAAGCCGATTTAGCCGATTTAATACTATTTATACTTTTAACTTGCTAATAATGTTATCAATATCTTTTATTTCATTAGCACTTATTGATTAATAAACATGTTCGAGTTAACTATAATCTTTTTTCTATAATAATATAAATAATTCGAATACTTTCTCAATTTTTCATTTATTTTAATTCTTAAATAATCAGAATATTTTAATAAAAATATTTGAAACTAAAAATAATTTTGATTTCTTATTATAAACCAATTGTATATTTCACATAAAATTTATATATCATGATTATAAATATAAATTTAAAAATTTTTTAAATTTATAAACTTTTTTCCTTTAATCAGTTATTTTAAAAAAATTCTATCCCATTAACTATTGTGATTAATTTCTTTTCAAATATTATTCTTTTATCTAATATTTTATTTTTTTTTTCAATCTTTTTGTATTTGATTTGATTAAAATAATTGTTCGTTTGAATGATTGAGAAGTCAATTTCCGATAATCACAATTGATCTGTTTTCATAATGAATTCTTTTAATTTTATATATATCGGTATATGATCATCCTGTCCTCCCAAAATTCTAATAAAATATTCTATAACTAATTGTTGGGTCCGTGGCGGAAGATCTCAATCATTAAGAGAAACTCTCTCCTGTCGATCCATCAACCAAAAATTTTGCGGAGGAAAAATAGAAGAGAGATATAAAGTATATATACAAACATACATAGATATGGAGTCATATTTTGAGCAGAAAGAGCTTCAAGTCAAATTTCTTGAAGAAATAAGCAAGTTTATTAAACATCACTTTAAGAATATGGGAAAACGACAAAGTCAGCTTCATAAAAAATATAGACCGAGTTTTTAGACAGTTCTACCAACGTAGGAACGATTAAACTTATCGATCCAAATTAAAGAAACAACTAAAAACTAGTTTTTTTTTTAAAAGAACAAGTTGCTCAGCAAAATTAAGTAGTGAGACAGCCAAACTATTACTGAAGTGTGGTGAAAATATAGCGTATGAGTTAATGTTATATCAGTTAAATAGGACGACAAAACGGCATACTAAAAGGATGGTTTAAGAGAGTCACGTATGAAAAAAAGAAAATTTCATACAAAAAAAAGAGCGAATCATATGGTAAAATCTGGAGTAAAACGGATAGAAAAATTTATGTCAGCAGTAAAGTAAACAGACGTTACAAAAAAGAATATAAACACAAAGTCTAAGTAATAGACATTCCATAAGTTTACGATCTCTTTTTTATTATGATATACTAAAAAGATGGGTGTAATTCGTAACATAAGCTCATTTAGAGTTGTAAAGAAAATAAAAATTAAAAACTTTATAAATTACAAACTGTAAGAGCAGATATGTGAATTTAAAAAGTTCTTTTGGTGTTATCATGTGGGAGAATTACGTGTGTTAATATAGTGGGAATACACGCACAGTGGAAAGAGCAGAGAGATCAATAGCAACTAGTGAGGAATGTTGAATACATTTCAAGTTGAGGTAAATTTTACAGAATAATATAAAAATTTTCATACAAATTCAACGCAAGCTTTATATAATCGATAAAGTTCAACGGCTAATTACGCGTTGGAGAAATCATTTACAAGAGAATTAAAGTTTGGTTGATCTACAAATGTAGGAATTTATCCAAACACTTTAATATAAATTACGTAGTCAAGACGCAATCAATAGAGAAGCAAAGTGAGAGAATACGAGTGGGGATAGAGATACAGATATAGATATAATGAAGTACTATGAAGATATTATATCGATATTTGATGATGGAGTAGGAAAAATTAATTTTGTTAGGAGGCAATTGACTCAGAGGATGAATTGTCACCAAAAAGTTTCTTGGTTTAAGAGACATGTACAGTATATCATAAAATGGATGAGAAGGTTGATGAGATCACAAAGACTTAAGATGAAACAACAAGTAAATTAGATGAAAAGATAAATCAGTGATCGTGATTGAGGATAATCCTACTCCATCTACTCCATCACCGGAACAGACTAAGGGTTTCCGGGCGACGTATGAAAAAAGCGAAGGAGAGAAAGTCGCAAGAGATGGTAAAGAATCAAGTAACTTCCCGATAAACAAACTACAAACACAATCATCGGACAAGAATCACGTGATTCCGGAAACAGAAGAGGTCGTTGATACTATAACAGATAAACACATAAATTTATTTCATGATTATTAATATAATTTAAAATAATTTTTTTCTTAATTTAGAATCTTTCCTTGATTCGTTGAATGATACTACCTCTTTAACTATTGTGATTAAAACTTCTTAAATATTATTCTTTTATTTATTGGTATCGTAAATTTTATTTCTTTTGTAGAATTCGACTCGCAGTGATCAACTTGATCTATTTCCGTAATGATCTCATTTCACTTGATATATAGTTGGACGATTATCTGGTTCATCATTCTAATATTAGAAAAAAGAAAGAAATATAAGAAATTATTAAGCGAGAAACCAAAAGATTAATTTTAAATTATTTTCAATTTCTTGGCTCGTATATTTGAGTTGACTTTCCTGACTCGTATATTATAGTATTAAGTAATATCAAAAAGAATTAAAAGAATTTTAGATTTAGTATTAAATTCTTTTTACCATCTTGACGAAATATTTTACTGTATCAGCCGGCATATCAGGAACACGACCTCTCTAAGATTTTTTGGACATGTCAGTATCATCATGATGTTGATTATTTAGATATAAAAAGAGGTCGACCACGCCAAGAATAAATTTGTGTTGTGCTACTACTACTATCTTTTCTAAATCTTTGTGGATCAACGTAAGCGTTTGATTTTGATTGTGGCTAGTTATTTGATGGACTGATATATTATGAGAGTGCTATTGAAATTTAATCGAACGATTATGACGAATTTAAATAGCATGTCGATATTTTTAAATTTAAATAAACCAATTTAAATAGTATGAAAAATAATTTACTATTCCTCCACTATTATAGTTTAGGCCAACTGATACGCTAAATTATTTTTATCACATCGAGTAAGGTTCTTGGATTTTTTGTCTTTAAAATATGCATGTGCTGTTTTTTTTATACAGTTAAGAAATGCAAAAAGCAGCTAGCATTAATTTATTATCAAATTTATGTCAATATAAATTTTTAAAAGCGATTTTTTTTAACATTGAAGCAATTGTAGCGTCTAATCGATCAATATCATTAAAGATAAACCACATAATTCTAATTTAAAGTTTAAACAATATTAAAAATTCTAACTTTATGTACAGTATATTTAACCTATCTGATCTAACCTATCTGCTTAGTTGAAATCAAACCCATTATCATTAAATCTACCATATACTACTACCTGAAGTACAACATAAAACCATCAAAAATCGACAACTGAAATAAATGTAATCTAGTGTATTTTTATATTCAGTTATTAAAGTTAGTATTCTCTAGCTTAGACTTATTAAATGTCTAAAACGTAATTATTCAATATTTGATTTATTTAAATACTAAAAATAATTTCATACAATTTTTTTTAAAAAAAATGTATTTACATAATAATTCAAAAATAATAAATTATACGTATAAACATACATTTTCTATAATACACTCATATTTGGCATCGTTTTACCAATATTTTTCGCTAGTGAATTACTAGATATTAAAAAATTTAATTTATCATACATAGTCTGACAAATTTCTTGAGTACATAGAAAGGGTGTAACGTAAATTGGCTGAGTAAATTTGGCTGAGTAACGTAAGGCAACATCTACGAGTAACGTAATTATGCGAATTTTCATTACCTTACTTAGCCAATCTAGCGTTACGCACCGAAGTTTTTGTTTGGTAATACCTAGCAACACTGTGTGACAATAATCAGAGAAAATACTTTAAATGGAGTTATTTTCGTTACCCGTGCGCAATAAAATTTTACAACTTACCGTTCAACTTTATTGTTTTTTAAAACCCTTCCTGTCAATTATTATTAAATATGTCTGATAATAAAAAAGTGCAAAATACCGAAAATACGAATGAATGGAATAATTGGATTGAAGAAGCTATTGATAAAGAACATTTAAATTACTACGAATATAACCAATTTACTAACATTCAAGAAATTGGTGCCGGAGGTTTCGGAAAAGTATACCGTGCAAATTGGAAAAATTCAAAAAAACAGTTAGCGTTAAAATCTTTTTTTAATCTTAATCATGTCACCATGAAAGAAATTGTTTGTGAGGTACTAATTTATTTATATATAATACTTTTTTTTTTACCAATTTTTCTATTAGCTTATATTACATTTATTTAATATTTGATTAGTTAAAAATTCAACGTAAAGTTGATTTTCATGATAATATTATTCGTTGCTATGGAATAACAAAATTTGAATCAGGTATAACAACTGATACTAATCTTCCAAGTTTTATTCACAAAAATTGCATTTTAATAATTATTCTTTTTAGAAAATCAAATTGGTAATAATTATATGATGGTAATGGAATACGCTGACGGTGGTAGTCTTCGAAACTATTTGGAAAAAAACTTTAGTAAACTCACTTGGGACGACAAATTCAATATGGCGTACCAATTAGCTTACGCTGTATCATGCTTGCATAATGAAGGGATCATCCATCGTGATTTGGTAATTTATTTATTATTATTTAATAATTGTTCACAACGCTGATTTGCATTTACCTATTTAATAAATTTTTAATAGCATTCTGGCAATATATTAGTTTGTCAAAATACGATCAAACTGGCAGATTTTGGGTTATCAAAAAGAATTGGAGCATCATCCAATTTTCAATCCAAATTATTTGGAATGGTTCCCTATGTTGATCCTAAAAGCTTTAGCAGACGAAGAAATAATAATAACCAAACGTATACATTAAATGAAAAAAGTGATGTTTACAGTGTTGGCATATTATTATGGGAAATATCTAGTGGTCAACCTCCTTTTCATGCTGAAGGTGAACAATATGATGTTAGCTTAATTTTAGAGATTTCACAAGGTCTTAGAGAAACTATTGTTCCTGACACGCCCAAAGATTATATAGAAATTTATACTAGTAAGTAAAATTTTAGGCCTATTGTAACTAAATATTATCTTAATTAACCTTAAATTATATTTGTGTTTTAGAATGTTGGGACGGTGAGCCAGACAATCGTCCTACTATATATCAAGTAGTTGAAGCAATAATTACAAAAACAAATATAATAACGGAAAATCCTCGCTTATCAAATGAGCAAGAACTTAATGAGGTCCCTTTAAGTACCAATAATTCAGAATCACGAGGAGAATTATCCCAACTTATTCAAAATTTTTATAAAATGAATACAAAGGAAATTGATAATATAGCAGTATCAAATGAACAGGAGAAACTTTTAACTGAAAAGGATTTTAACAGAATAGTTGATGAAATAAATTATTTAATTTTTAAATTATTAAATAAAGGAACTAGTAAAGGAGAATTAGTCAAAGAGCAAGTTATTGAATATTTGAAAAACTATGATACAAATTTACAAGAAATTTATAATTGGTTATTAATAAATAATCAAAACATACCAAATTCAATTTTTTTACTTGGATATTTTAATTATAAGGGAGTTGAGACAAGAATTAATTATAAGAAAGCATTTAATTTATTTATCAATGCATCAGAAAACAATCATATATTAGCACAATATTTTGTTGGTGTTTGTTATTTTTTTGGACATGGAATTATGAAGAATGAAAAATTAGCTTTAAAATATTTTAAAACAACAGCAAATAAAAATTTAACAAATGGACAAAAGGATACAGGTTATTGTTATGAAAATGGAATAGGTATTGAAAAGGATTTAAGTAAGGCTTTTTATTGGTATGAAAAAGCTGCAAATAATGGAAATATAATAGCTATAAAAAATCTTGGTATTTGTTATAGAGATGAAATTGGGGTGAAGAAAGATCATTACAAAGCTTTTGAATTATTTAAGCAATCAGCTGAAGGAGGATATTCAGGTGGAATGATTTCATTAGGATATTGTTATGAACTTGGTATTGGAACTAAAATTGACAAGCAAAAAGCATTTGAATCATATCAAAAATCAGCGAATTTAGGAAATAAAGTTGCACAATATAATATTGGTGTTATGTATGAAAATGGAGATGTAATTACAAAAGATTTAGATAAAGCAATTTATTGGTATAAAAAATCTGCTAAACAAGGACATCAATTTGCAAAAAATAAGTTAGAAATACTTCAAAAAAATCAATAATTTTTTTTTTTTAATTTACAAAATATCGTAATATATAATAAATATGTCTTATAGAATTTTAATTATCATTCTTATTGCAAGTATTTTTTTTTTATTTTTATCAAGTTATATATATTTTCTTTTAAATTAAAGTTTCGTTTGTGTTACGAAATTTAGTTGTTTAAAATCGGGAAAGAGATTTTTTATGAGTTAAGCCTCAGATGTGGTTTATATGGTTAGACTATAATTGCTTAAAATGGAGCCTGTAATTGACGCTTATTTGTTTTGTACATATACTGTATGTAATAGTTAAAGCAATGCTTTTTATATCTAAGCAAAAAAATGATCTAGGCCTTTTATATAAAGGAATATTTTTTTAACAAATACAAAAATATAAATATTATAAATCACATGTACGAAGAATTTTTTACGGTTAGTTTTTAGTCGAGGTAATCTTTGATCGATGATTGATTAGTGTGATCGATCAAATCGACTAAAGAAATTCTGACCTCAGCTAATACTACTAATCGAACTAATCGAAAGGATTTAAAAAAATTTCTTACATGATAAATATAAAATTAAGAGAATAATTGAAATGTGGAGGAAATGTATCTGATAATTTTAAATCTACCTACAAACATGTAGGGTATCCGGACTTTTTCGCCGAAGTCTATTCTATCGAAACCTATTTCGCCGAAGCAATTTCGCCGAAGCAATTTCGCTGAAGGGATATTTTACCGAAGTGCTATTTCGCTGAAATGTCATTTTCCCGAATGGCCATTTTACCTAAGGACATTTCTCCGAAGCCATTTCGGCGAGGGGACATTCAACTCTCCTTTTCTTTTTTATAAGATAAACGAATTATTTACACATTACAGGTCACGTTTGTTTATTTTATTTATTGAAAGGAAATTAATTTTATTAAACAATTTCATCGTACTCATCAATTTTCTGAAAAATTACTAACATTTTCGGCGAAATGTCCTTCGACGAAATGAATGATAAATGAAATTATGACATTTAAATAACGATTCGGGGAAAGGATTCGGCGAAATGTTTATTCGAAGAAACGCCATTCGACGAAAAAAATATCCATTCGGCGAAACTTCCTTCAGCGAAATGGCCTCGGCGAAATGAGTTTCGGCGAAATAAACTTCGGCGAAACGTACCGTAACCAACATGTAGTACGATAACGTAAAAATCCTATACTTTCTGTTACGCAACACAAATTTTACAAGTCGCGTGATCGAACGCCATCCCATTGATCCATATATCACATGTTACTCTAAGATTTACCCATGTGTACGCAACAACATTGAACGACTTGAACGTCCATTTTTTTCTACATACCATTAACTCATATTATGGTCGATTAATTAATTAATTGATTAATCAATTTCGATCATGGACCACCGAAACAAATCAACCAATCAAGAGATTTAGGAACAATCAAATTCCTATAGATTACGTTATTGGTTTTTAAGCATTTGTTAAATAATCTACTGCTGTAATGGTAAACTTAAAAGAGTTTTGCTAACTTGCTCCCTTGGGTTAAATAACCTGGGTTAAAATCACCTCCCTAAAAATTTATATTTTACGTGATTTTTTGCCAATCATTTTTTTAAAAAAAACAAAAAATAAAATTATTTGTTTTATTATTCATTTCACTTTAGAATTGGACATTATGGAGCATAATGACCAAGTTTTCTTATATTTTTGACAATGTCTCTTACGTTTTTGATTGTGACCATAATTTACATTTTTTTTGGACATTTGGGCAAAATTTTATACTACTGTAATTATATAAAATTTATTAGTAGGTTAAATCACCCAGATTAAATCACCCTGGGTTAAAATTAATCTTATACAACTTAAGTGTCAATGAAACCTTACCAACATATTTTATTATAAAGAATAAGCACAAGCAAGTGAATGTATTTATAGACTAACCCTCCAAAATATATTCTTATCTCTTTACAATTATTAACAACCTGGTTGAAAAAAAACTTGGTCAATTTGTCTTAAAAAAATAACGATAAATGGCAAGACCGAAAATCCAGGATCTAGGATTAACGATGATCACTAGTAGTTGGCAGAAAAGCATCTTAAGTACCCGTTATCCTTTAAATAATAATTGTTAACTTGAGAAAAATTAGTAAATTTACAAAAAATATATGCTTGAATGATAAATATATTCAATGATACTTCAAGTTGAAAAATATTATATTATTATTATGACCATGATCTTACAGTCCTTAAGTTCGTGTTGTACAACCACAATGATAACTCTATCAAATAATCAAATCGATTTCAATTTTTTAAAAAAATGTAATATATATGTAATTATTTACTGTATTAATAGTATTTATTATATGAGTTAAAATTAAAAGATTTTACAAAAACTTTTTTATCTAAGATCTACTTAAAGGTGACATTTTCTTTACATAACTCAAACTTTATTATACATATTACTCGTACCCGCTCTCTCTGGTTATATGACAATAAACCTAAGCCTCCCAGCAAATTCATCAATGAAAGCAGGCTATGGGTGAAGATTATACTAACCAAGGGGAGGCGGAGTCTGATTATGAGGATGGAATATTCGAAGAAATCGATCCCTTAAAAATAATATTATTATTATCAAATATTATAATATATAAATTTCCATTTTCTACTCGTTAGGGATTGGAATCGATTATCGAATCTTTGTAGATTTGATTTTTTGTTCCTTAAAAGATAATCAATTTTAAGCTATAATAATTAATTCTATGATCAGTAAATATATAAATTCTGAATTAAAATTGTAAAATCTATTAAGAAATTATATATCGTTACTGTTACTACTGTTACTAATACCCAGCTGTAAATTACTATGCTGATTGTTTCCGACCATTTGCAGATCATTTCGTCATTTTTAAGTTTTCTGAAAATATTTTTATTTTTTGGATGTAATGTTGAATTAATTTTTTTGTTTAATTTTAATTTTCTCTTCAATAAATGAGATGCGATTTTGATTCGATTGTCGATTCCAATCCCTACCACTCGTAAGTGTTTTGATTTATTTCGAGCATCTTGATCTTCTTTGTTTTGGCAGATTTTTCATAACAAGGTATAGCTTTACCAATATTTACTGCAAGATTATATTGAGATGCACGCTTTCTGTCTATCAACTTTAGTACCAATTCCATTATTATGAATAAAAATTTTTTATTTTAATAAGTGATCCTACGTCATTACTGCGGTACTGCGGTCAATTTTTTGTTTGGTGATTGAATCGTGACATTTGTGCGACAATAATCTTGCATAAAATACTTAAAATGGGGTTATTTTCGCACAATTTTGATTGTTCAATTTTATTGTTTTTCTGTCAATATTATTATTCAATATGTCTGATAATAAGAAAATTCAAAATACTAAAAATACAAATGAATGGGTTAATTGGATTCAAGAAGCTATTGATAAAGAACACTTAAATTATTATGAATACAACCAATTTACTAACATTCAAGAAATTGGCGCCGGAGGTTTCGGAAAAGTGTACCGCGCAAATTGGAAAAATACAAAAAAACAATTAGCGTTAAAAACTTTTTTCAACCTTAATCATATCACCATTAAAGAAATTGTTTGTGAGGTAATTTCAGTTATTATTGATATATCTTTTTCTACGATGCTTTTTTAGTCTGTAACTCTGTATTTATTTATTTTAATATTTGTATTTATTTTAGTTAAAAATTCAGCGTAAAGTTGATTTCCATGATAATATAATTCGTTGTCATGGAATAACAAAATTTGAATCAGGTATTATATGGTATTATAAGAGACTTTAATAAGTACTATGTTATTCTAAATTTTATTCACAAAGTGCTTTCAATTTTTTTTTTAGAAAATCAAATTGGTAATAATTATATGATGGTAATGGAATACGCTGACAGTGGTAGTCTTCGAAACTATTTGGAAAAAAACTTTAGTAATCTCACTTGGAACGATAAATTCAATATGGCGCACCAATTAGCTTACGCTGTATCATGCTTGCATAATGAAGGGATCATCCATCGTGACTTGGTAAGTTAATTATTCTTATTTAATAATTATTCATAACGCTGTATTTGCATTTACTTATATGTCTTTTATAGCATTCCGGCAATATATTAGTTCATCAAAATGTGATCAAATTGGCAGATTTTGGATTATCAAAAAGAATTGGAGCATCATCCAATATTCAATCCAAATTATTTGGGATAGTTCCCTATATTGATCCGAAAAGCTTTAACAAACGAAGAAATAATAATAACCAAGTGTTTTCATTAAATGAAAAAAGTGATGTTTACAGTGTTGGCGTATTATTATGGGAAATATCCAGTGGCCAACCTCTTTTTTATGCTGAAGGTGAAGAATATGATGTTAGTTTGATTTTGGAAATTTCACAAGGTCTTAGAGAAACTATTGTTCCTGACACGCCCGAAGAATATGTAAAAATTTATACTAGTAAGTAAAATTTTAAATTTAAATATAACTAGAATACTATTGCTGGTGATTCTCACCGTGCATTGGCAAATAGTAACGGGCAGAGTTTCATGACATTTTTAATTCGGTCCGAAATTCTACCCTAATTCTGGTAAGGTGATAATCACTTGCGGTATTCTATTATCTTAATCACTAACCTTAAATTATATTTGTGTTTTAGACTGTTGGGACGGTGAGCCAGATAATCGTCCTACTATATATCAAGTAGTTGATTTGTTAAAAGCAATGTTTATTACAAAAACAGATATAATAGCAGAAAATCCTCAATTATTAGATGAGCAAGAACTTAGTGAAGTCCATTTAAGTACCAATAATTCAGGACTACAAGGAGAATTGTTCCAACTTATTCAAAATTTTGATGAAATGAATACAAATGAAATTGATAATACAATAGTAAATATACAAGAGAAACTTTTAGCCGAAAAAGATTTTAGCAAAGTAGTTGATGAAACAAATGATTTAATTTTTAAATTGTATAATAAAGGAATTGATATGGATTTAGTAAAAGAACAAATTATTAAATATTTTAATAACTATAATACAAATTCACAAGAAATTTATAATTGGCTATCAAATAATCAAAGTTCAAATTCGATTTTTTTACTTGGATATTTTAATTTGCTTGGAATTGAGATAAGTAAAAATAACGAGAAAGCATTTGACTTATTTATTAGTGCATCAGAAAAGGATCATATATTAGCACAATCTTTTGTTGGTGTATGTTATCAATATGGAAATGGAACTATAAAAAATGAAAAATTAGCTTTTAAATATTATGAAAAAGCGGCTAATAAAAATTTCGCACGTGGACAACTTAAAATTGGTTATTTTTATGACAATGGAATAGGCACAAAAAAAGATTTAAAAAAGGCTTTTTATTGGTATGAAAAAGCTGCAAATAATGGTAATATAATAGCTATGCATAATTTAGGTAGATGTTATTTAAATGGAGAGGGTGTTGAAAAGGATTATAATAAAGCTTTTTGGTTATTTAAGCAATCAGCTGAAGGGGGATATTCAAGTGGAGTAACAATGTTAGGATATTGTTATAATTATGGTATTGGAACTAACATTGATAAGCAAAAAGCTTTTGAATTATATCAAAAATCAGCAAATTTAGGAAATAAGGTAGCACGATGCAATCTTGGTATGATGTATGAATTCGGAGATGGAATCACAAAAGATAAATATAAAGCGATTTATTGGTATGAAAAATCTGCCAAACAAGGATATCATAAAGCACAAAATAGATTAGAAATACTTCAAAAAAATCAATAATTTATAATTTATTAAATTATAAAATGTAAAATTTGTTAACATTATTTTTTTAAAAAATTTAAAATATTGTAGTATATGTTGTATATAATAAATAAGTCTATTAAAAATCAATAATTATTCTTATTGACAGTATTTTTTTTATTACCATGTTAACTGAATACATATATTATCTCCCTTTTAAATTAAAATGTCGTTATAGGATTTCTAAATTCATGAGAATTTGATTCATTTTTCTGAAAATTTTAATTATTTTAATTATTTTAATTAATTGATGCTTATTTGTTTAATACTATTTTTTTTTTTTGAAATGATCGTATATATGAAAGAAAAGACAATGAAATACAGTAATTAAAGTTATGTTTAAAGTAAAAAAAAAAAAGATTTAAAATTTTTATATAAAAGTATTAATACTTTTTTATAAAATATAAAAATATTATAAATCACTTATACGAAGAATCGAAGAATTTTTTACGATATTGATCGTTAATTGTCGAACCATATAGAAATTAAGTATCTGCATACGCTTACGTCACTCTTACTAAACAAATGTACTAAGTGGGTGTAATCTTTCAAAATAATATTGGGCATCAATATCTATAAGGTAATTCTGTTTAAAAATTTTATTTAAGTTATTTTTTAATAATTTTTTTTTAAGAAATTTAATCTATATAATATAATAAAAAAATTCGTTTAGAAGACCTGCTTGATCGGCAAGTCATATTGTATATCTAATCCAATTCCGGTTAATGAAATTTTTTCCTTTTCTTTCGAACCAATCTATTCTCTTTTGAAACACCTTCTTCTTTTCCTTTTTTTTTTCATTTGAATTTTTTTTATTTTTATTTTTTTTTCTGTTTTTTTTTCCGGTTGGCTTTTTCTCAAATCCGAAATTTTTTTCCCTTTTCCTTTTTTGGTTTGGCTTTTTTGAATTTTTTATTCCAAATAGTACATTCTTTCACCTGGAAGAGCTTGGGTATTAATGAAAATAAAATCCCGAGATTAATGCATATTTTTGCTGTGAGTCCTGATTTATAAAGGTGAATACTGAGGTTAAGTTTAGAAGTCTCTTCTTTAATGCCTTACAAATATTGTGGTTGTTAATTTTGAGGTAGCGACAGGTTGAAATCATCGAAAATTGAATGATAAGTTGATTGTAAATGTTACATGTGGAGCGGAGTGGACATGTAAGGAGCATCGTGAATGAGGCAAAAACTTCTGCTTTGGTAGAAGAAGCAAAATGTGCGATAGCAGCTTTAAAATTGATAGGGATATTAAGGTTAATGCCCATTTTTGTTGTATTGTCTTCATTATAAAGTGAGGATCCGTCAGTGTATATTTCCAGTAATGATTGAGATTGAATAGTAGATCAAATATAGAGTAGGTCATTCTTCAACGAGGTTGATGTATTGAGAAGAGAATGAATAAGTGTATAATTAATAGTGTTAAATAGTGGATGAGTAGGAGATTCTAAGTTCATAGTGGGGAATTTTGATTCAAATAGTTGTACAGTATATGTAATGTGATTGACTGATCGTCAAATTACATCACGTGTTTTTACATAATGTGCTATAAAAACAGTGAAAAAAAAGGCTTTTTATCTCAGAAAGTTATGTCTTCATTTCTTTCAGAATATTATATTTTCTTATACTTTTCGCCATAGTGGTAAGTTTGTGTTGCTGATAGCGGTCTGTATAACACTATAATTATATCTTGTATAATTGTAATGCTTGATCAAAAAGCTCGTCGATTACAAAAATTGAGCGTAATAATCAGTTTATTTTATTTACCAGATAGTAAGGTCTCAAAACTATATAATAAAAAGAGTCTTGTCGGATCATAGACATTTGTGCGCATGCTCTTGACAGCGGTTAGTATCGATTTTGATGCATAAAGTAGCAGGAGCGTAAAATTCATCAATTACAAAAAACTTGGCGTAATAACAGTCAGTTTATTTTATTTACCAAATAGTAGAGCGTCATAATTATATAATGGAAGGTCTTGTTGGATTATAGACATTTGCGCACATGCTCTTGACAGCGGTTGGTATCGATCTCGGTGTATAAAGTGATGCAGGAGCATAAAATTTGTCAATTACAAAAAATTTGGCATAATAATAATCTATTTTATTTACCAGATAGTAAGGTGTCAGAATTATATAATGGAAGGTCTTGATCATAGACATTTGCGTGAATGCTCCTGATAGCGGTTGGTATCAATCTTGATGTATGAAGTAGCGCAGTAGTGTATAATTCGTTGATTACATATAATTGGGCGTAATAATAATCATTTTTTTTTATTTAATAGATAGAAAGGGCATCAGGATTATATGTCTTAAGGGGTATTATTGGTCATGGATGTTTGCACGCATGCTTCTGACAGCGGTTGGTATTGATCTTAGTATATACTGTATAGTAGCGCAGGTGCAAAAAATTTGTTGATACATAAAATTGTGTCTAACAATAATCAGTTTTTTAGACAGAAAAGCGTCAAGGAAGGTCTTGCTGGGTTATGGACATTTGTGCGCAATCCCTGATAACAGTTGGTATTGAACTATCGAACTTGGGTGTATAAAGCAGCGCAAAAACGTTAATTACAAAAAAGTCTGTCTAACAATAATCAGTTTTTTTTTGTTAACTAGATATAAAATCATCATGATTATTATTATACTCTTGATTACAGCAGTTGGTAAAGATATTGGTTTTTTATATAGTCATATTAGCTTTTATATAGGCAAATTTTAGATTTATATATTTTTTACTACTTTGACACTAGTTCACCTTTCAGTTTTTTTTTCTGTAAAGAAAAATTTATTGAGGGTCGGCCATCAATGGTCTGTTCTTGTTGAAAATTGTTGAAATAGAGATTAATAAATTTCTTTTATGATAGAAATTATTAAGAAATAAGAATGTTTATATAAAATATTTCTAATTCTTCTTAATATATTAATTTTTTTGATTCATTATTTTTTTTCATAGAAATTGTGTTGCAGTGTATTATTGCCATTTTCAAAATAGTGTACACAGTTTATTTGTGATCGTATATTCGAATACCAATATTCGCCTGGTTTTCATCCGTTGATTACCCCTATTTTGTCTGGTTTTTGTCCAATTTTCAGTTTTCTTTGTTTTTATTCAAATTTAACTGCATACATCATTTTGAAAATGGCGATAATCTTTTTACAAGAGAAACTATAGGTTTTCATAATTAAATTATTAAAAAAAATTTAAGACTCAGAATTATTTTTAGTTGTTGTTGATCATGCAAGAAAGATAATTCTTTAATGACATTTTAAATATCGAATCTAAAATTATTATATTATTAAAATTATTAAAATAATTCGTAGCTCTTGTTAAGATTTATTACTTTTTTTAAAATATTCAGAACTTTCTAATAGAATGTTTCTTTCAAACAAAATAACACGACTTCGAGATTTCAGTAATGCAAATGCTATAAATAAATCGTCTGCTTAAGATATATATATATATATATATATATTGAAAACTTTAATTTCGAAAAATTTGTCGAAATTAGCATTTCATTAATATAATTGAAAAATTTTAGGACGACCCTGTGATACGATTTCGAAATTTAAAGTCGTGATTCGAAACCTCCTTCTTGATTTTATCACTTGAGATGAGTTAGAAGCTTTCATCTTTAATAGCAGTAAAGACATAATTTTTCGAAAAAATAACTTAACAGTTAATAAATTTAACAGAAAAAAATAAATCGTTCATATCCTTGGTTCTCTTCCAATTCATCTCATGTGATACAACCAGGAAAGAAGTACCGAATCAAAGTATAAATCTGATATTGAATCACAGGTTTGCAGAATATTTCGTTCTAAAGTTTTTCTAAAAAAATACTACTGTATTAAATAAACACTAATTAGTTTTGGCAAATTTTTCAAAATGACTTTCACATGATATTAATTATCTAATAACGAGGATCTGTATTCCACATGTGTGATAAATAAAATAAAAACGAAATAAAAATTGCAATTTTTTGTTAAGTATCTAATTAATTCAACTTTCCATAATTTTTCATCAATATTTATTGCTCTTAATCTTGAAAACGGGGATAATTCAGACGACGTCAAATTTTCGAATTAAATTTATAGTATTCTCGAAATGTATGATAAATTTTTACATTTAACAATTCATATGATAATGACAATATTTTAGCGTGAGTTTTAAGTTTATATTCATAATAGTTTTATATTTTTTATCAAGAAAATTCGCTAATTCCAAAGGATTTTATGATCCCTTGGGAGATCTCCATTAACTTGGTAAATTTTGAAATAAATTATAAATATTGCTACTTGTTATAACATATTATGTATCTTTTTCAGCGATATTTTTAAAGATATGACTGCCTCTTATATCAGTTAATTTATCTGATTTTTTGACTCTTCTCTCGTTAACTGAACTCTAATGACAATCCTTTACCTATTTCCAATTCGTCCTTAATTCTCTTCCAATTTTTTAAACCCTTGTAATTTTACTTAATGATCCAAACTCCGTCCACGCCATCTTTGACTCATCTGGTCTGTGTACACTATAACATTCTTTTATCATAAAATCTCGCTGAGAATATTTGGTTTCTGTTTATTTTCATAAAGTTTGAGAAAATTCTCGAAGATTATCCTGAAAACCACCTCGAGGCTGACAACATGCACTTCAACTATTCTTTACATCATTATTTGATGGGATCTAACAAACATCAATTGCTACCGATAATGGTTCCATCGATGATGATGTACTACTAACTGATAATACAGTTTTCGGAGAGAAAGCTGTCCTGAGATAGGTATGAGAGGAAAAGACTATTCAATCCAAGGGGAATAGTACTTATGTAAATCCTTAAACCTCTGAAATAACTATCCGCCAACCTTTGGAAGATTCACCATTGACAAAGAACTTTTTCATTTAAAAGGTGACGATTATCTTTCTTTGTGAACTTGATGATGACGAATTTTTCTTCGTCAGTTTCTGCCTTCCAAGCCAAGTTCATTGGATCTTCAGTAAGTTTATAAAGGTATGTAAACTTGCCTTCATTTTCATCAACTTAATATTGATTATGGTAAGGAAAAACCTTTGTATCTTTTCAGCTTCGGTCTCATCTAATTCTTTTAAGCCTTTGTAGTAGTTATCTAAAGTCTGAAAGGCAAGATGTAAAGACTCAAAAAAAACTGCAAGCTCTTCTACTCTTTTTCCATTGTCTTCAGGGCGATTCATCATTAGAATGAAATCAGTGAGTAGCTCAATTACGGGGTTTTCAAGATACACAGCACCAAGGACACAAATCCAAGACCCTGCAATAGCAAGAATAATGGATGGGTAACAAGAACTATTGCGAATCTTTTCGGTCTGTTCATGAAAAATTAAACATGAATATTTGCATGACTTTATCAATATGTCACAAAGAAAACACACCTATGATTGAGCCCAATACTTTATATCACCACACCCCCTTGAATTGAAGGATCTTTTCCTCCTGTACCTATCTCATTTTTGTATTCCCAAAGAATTAGGACAGCTTTCTCTTCAAAAACTGTATTATCAATTACTAGTAATACATCATCATCAATGGAACCATTATCGGTAACAATACCAATTTCTCACGATATTAAATATCAATAGAAGTAGTAAGTACGATTGAAGCGACCGACGGCAGCAACGATGGTATTTAATTTTGTTATTTTCAATTAATCCATTTATCATAATAATTATTAATAAATTAATTAAAAAAAGTTTTATATGTAAAAAATATAATGTATTTTCCATACAATATATTGTAAAAAAATTTGTTAATTTTTATATAAATTTGTACAAAGAATTATTAATTATACATATAATATTGTTAGTTATATTGCATAAATTTCGACAAATTTAACTATTTGTGCAATATTGAATACCCTGAAAATTTTGTGATGTGTGTTGCCGCAAGAACGACTGAAATCCAAGTCCTGGATTTCAGGATCTAGGATTGAAATTAGTGAATTTACGAAAAATATATGCTTGAATGATAAATCCACTCAATAATGATGCATTATCCTTTATCAACGGTATTTTTTTTATATCCAATGTATCCAATTCAAGTTAAACATGAACTCTTGTATTATTCGTCCTTAAGTTCGTGTTATACGACCACCTATCGATGATAACTCCCTGAACGAATGCATACCAACATCGCAAAGTAATTCAATAAAAATTAGTTATCAAATAATCAAATCGATTCAAAAAAAAATTTATAATTTTTACATAAATTTTTTTTTAATAATAATTATACACAAAATTACCCAAGATCTACTTAAAGGCGACATTGAATTTTTTTTTTTTTACATAATAATAACTCATATACATTATTATACATATTACAAATAAATTGCTAAAAAATAATATTATTATTATCAAATATTATAATATGTAAATTCTCTCGTAAATGTTGTAATTTATTTCGAGCATCTTTATCTCCTTGTTTGGCAGATTTTTCATACCAAAGTATAGCTTTACCAACATTTTTCGTTACTCTTAATCATGTTTCAAATGATACTGCAAGATTTTATTGAGCACTATTTCTTAAATTCGCTGCTTTCTGATATAATTCAAATGCTTTTTGTCTATCAACTTTAGTACCAATTCCATTATTTTAATAAGTAATCTTAATCTCCTAAGTCATTACTGCGGTACTGCGGTTAGTAACAAAAAATTTTCTTTTGTTTGGTGATACCTAGTGAGTGACATTTGTGCGACAATAATCGGAGAATAAGTTGCATAAAATACTTAAAATGGGGGTTATTTTCGTAATAAAATTTTACAATTCTGACCGTTCAATTTTATTATTTTTCCGCCAATATTATTATTCACTATGTCCGATAATAAGCAAATGCAAAATACCGAAAATACAAATGAATGGATTAATTGGATTGAAGAAGCTATTGATAAAGAACATTTAAATCATTATGAATACAACCAATTTACTAATATTCAAGAAATTGGTTCTGGAGGTTTCGGAAAAGTGTACCGTGCAAATTGGAAAAATACAAAAAAACAATTAGCATTAAAAACTTTTTTTAATCTTAATCATGTCACCATGAAAGAAATCGTTTGTGAGGTAATTTATTATATAATACCTTTTTTTTACGATGTTTTTTAACCTATATTATTTTATTTTTAATATTTGAATTTATTTTAGTTAAAAATTCAACGTAAAGTTGATTTCCACGATAATATTATTCGCTGCCATGGAATAACAAAATTTGAATCAGGTATTATAAATATTATAAAGAGATATTATATCTAAATTTTATTCACAAAATTTCATTCCAATTTTTTTTTTTTTAGACAATCAAATTGGTAATAATAATTATATAATGGTAATGGAATACGCCGACGGTGGTAGTCTTCGAAATTATTTGGAAAAAAACTTTAATAGGCTCACATGGGACGATAAATTAGATATGGCATACCAATTAGCTTACGCTGTATCATGCTTGCATAATGAAGGGATCATCCATCGTGACTTGGTAATTTATGTATTATTATTTAATCATTGTTCGTAACACTGTATTTGTATTTATTTATTTATATATGTTTTTTTAATAGCATTCCGGCAATATATTAGTTCATCAAAACATGATCAAATTGGCAGATTTTGGGTTATCAAAAAGAATTGGAGCATCATCCAATTTCCAATCTAAATTATTTGGGATGGTTCCCTATATTGATCCGAAAAGCTTTAGTAGACGAAGAAATAATAATAACCAAATTTTTTCATTAAATGAAAAAAGCGATGTTTACAGTGTTGGCGTATTATTATGGGAAATATCCAGTGGCCAACCTCCTTTTTATGTTGAAGGTGAAGAATATGATGTTAGTTTAATTTTGGAAATTTCACAAGGCCTTAGAGAAACGGTTGTTTCTGACACGCCCGAAGAATATGTAAAACTTTATACTAGTAAGTAAAATTTTAAATTTATTATAATTTAAATATTGTTTTAATTAATTATATTTGTGTTTTAGAATGTTGGGACGGTGAGCCAGATAATCGTCCTACTATATATCAAGTAGTTGATTTGTTAAAAGCAATAATTACAAAAACAGATATAATTACGGAAAATCCTCCATTATTGAATGAGCAAGAATTTAGCGAGATCCATTTAAATACCAATAATTCGGAATCACAAGGAAAATTATCCCAACTTATTCAAAATTTTAATAAAATGGACACAAAAGAAATTGATAATATAGTAGTATCAAATAAGCAAGAGAAATTTTCAACTGAAAAAGATTTTAACATAGTAGTTGATAAAATAAATGATTTAATTTATAAATCCTATGATAAAGGAATTGAAGGGGAATTAGCAAAAGAGCAAGTTATTGAATATTTTAACAATTATAATATAAATTCACAAGAAATTTATAATTGGTTATTAAATAATCAAGTTAATTCAAATTCCATTTTTTTACTTGGATATTTTTATTATTATAGAATTGAGACTAGTGAAAATAATGAGAAAGCATTTAATTTATTTATCAATGCATCAGAAAACAATCATATATTAGCACAATCTTTTGTTGGTGAATGTTATCAATATGGTTATGGAACTATAAAAAATGATAAACTAGCTTTTGAACATTTTGAAAAAGTGGCTAATAAAAATTTCACATATGGAAAATTTAAAATTGGTTCTTATTATATGGAAGGAATAGGTATTAAAAAAGACTTAAAAAAGGGTATTTATTGGTATGAAATAGCTGCAAATAATGGAAATATGATTTCCATACATGATTTAGGTATTTTTTATTTATATGGAATTGGTGTTGAAAAAGATTTTAATAAAGCTTTTGAATTATTTAAACAATCAGCTGAAGGAGGAAATTTAATTGGAATGATTTCATTAGGATTTTGTTATGAAAGAGGTATTGGAACTAAAATTGATAAGCAAAAAGCATTTGAATTATATCAAAAATCAGCAAATCTAGGAAGTAAAATAGCACAATATAATGTTGGTAATATGTATGGAAATGGAAATGGAATTACAAAAGACATAGATAAAGCAATTTATTGGTATGAAAAATCCGCCAAACAAGGATATCAAGATGCACAAAATAAGTTAAAAATACTTCAAAAAAATCGATAATTTATAAATTCTTTCTTTATTAAATTGTAAAATGTTAAATAAATTAAATTTGTTACATTTTTTTTTTTTAATTTACAAAATAGCGTAATATACTGTATAATAAATAAGTCTTATTAAATTTAATGATCATTCTATTGACGGTATTTTTTCATTATCAAAATAACTGAATATATAGTATATTTCTCTTTTAAATTAAAATGTCGTTCTAGGGATTTCAAAATCCATGAGGATTTGATTTATTTTTCCGAAAATTTAATTGTTTAAAAAAAATTTGATACTTATTTGTTAGTATTATTTTTTGAAACGACCGTATATATGAAAAAAAAAGATAATGAAAGATGATGGTAACTAAAGCAATGCTTTTTATATCTAAAGCAAAAAAAAATTGATTTAAAATTTTTATACTTTTTTTATAAAATATAAAAATATTACTATAAATCACGTATACGAAGAATTTTTTACGATATTGATTGGTCGACGGTAAACTTAATTAAATATCTACCTGCATACGCTTACGTCACTCTTACTAACATACTTTATCTGTTTATCATAAGGAATGGATGTGTTTTATAAACTAATCCTCCAAAATAATATTTTTATCGCTTTACCAACTGAATTTCTCACGATATTAAATATCAATAGAAGTAATAAGTACGATTGAAGCGACCGACGGCAGCAACGATGGATTTAATTTTGTCATTTTCAATTAATCCATTTATCATATTAATTATTAATAAATTGATTAAAAAAAAGATACCGTCTGTTTGTCTTCAAAAAAAATGATGATAAATGAGTGCCTGTGTTGCCGCAAAACCGGAAATCCAGGATCTAGGATTGACGATCGTCATTAGTTGGCAGAAATGTTAACTTGAGAGAAATTAGTGAATTTACGAAAAATATATGCTTGAGTGATAAATTAATGACACATTATCGGTGATTATCCTTTATCAACGGTATTTTTTTATATCCAATATATCCAATTCAAGTTGAAAATATTATTTTATATTAAGTTCGTGTTGTACGACCTATCGACCTGAACGAATGCATACCAATATCGTATAGTAACTAGTCAATAAATCGATTTCAATTTTTTTTTAAAAAAATTTATAATATGTAATTATTTACTATATTAATATTTTATTATTTGAATATTAAAATTAAAAGATTTTACATAATTTTTTTTTTTTTACTAATAATAATTATACACAATATTACCCAAGATCTACTTAAAGGCGACATTGAAATTTTTTTTTACATAATAATAACTCATACATTATTATAATACCTGTCTCTTATACACATCTAGATGTGTATCCAAGATCTACTTAAAGGCGACATTGAAATTTTTTTTTACATAATAATAACTCATACATTATTATAATACATATTAAAAAATAAATTGCTAAAAAAAAAATATTATTATTATTATTATCAAATATTATAATATATAAATTCTCCCATTTTCTACTCGTAAATGTTGTAATTTATTTCGAGCATCTTTATCTCCTTGTTTGGCGGATTTTTCATACCAAAGTATAGCTTTACCAATATTTTTCGTTACTCCTAATCCTGATTCATATGATACTGCAAGATTATATTGAGCTGCACTATTTCCTAAATTCGCCGCTTTCTGATATAATTCAAATGCTTTTTGTCTATCAATTTTAGTACCAATCCCATTATTATAACAATATCCTAACATTGATATACCATCAGCATCTTCATTATCAGCTAATCGTTTAAATAATTCAAAAACTTTTTTAAAATTTTTTTTATCCTTATAAATGAAAGCGAGATTATACATTGCTATATTATTTCCATTTTTTGCAGCTTTTTCATACCAATAAGTTGCTAATTTAAAATCTTTTTCAATACCTATTCCCATATCATAACAATGACCAATTTTTAATTGACCCATTGCATAACCCTTATTAGCCAAACTTTCAAAATATTTAAAAGCTAATCTTTCACTTTTCGTTACACCATGTCCAAATAAATAACATTCTCCAACATAATATTGTGATAATAAATGATTTTTTTCTGATGTAATAAAAAATATTTCGAATGCTTTCTTAAAATTTTCATTTATTTTAATACCTAAATAATTAAAATATCCTAATAAAAACATTGTATCCAAATCATCATTATTTTGATTTTTTATTAACCAATTATATATTTCACTTAAATCCATATCATGATTATTTAAATAATTTAAAATAATTTGTTTTCTTAAGTTAGCATCTTTTCCTTGATCCGTTATTTTAAAAATGTATGATACTATTTCTTTAACTATTGTGATTAAATCTTTTTCAAATATTATTCTTTTGTTTATTGGATTTATTGTGAATTTCACTACTTTTGTATGTGATTTGATAAAATTTTGTGATGATAATGATTTTTCGTTTGATGATTTCTCACATTGATTGGATTGATCTGATTTCATAATGATCTCATTTAACTTGGTGAACACTTGATACATAGTTGGACGATTATCCGGCAGATCATCCCAACATTCTAATGAAAGAAGAAAAAGAAAATATAAACAATTATTAAACGAGAAACCAAAAAAGATCAATTTTAAAAATCAATTTACATACCTGTATATAATTTTACGTAATCTTCGGGCGTACCAGGAATAACAGCCTCTCTAAGACCTTTTGAAATATTTACAGACATGTCATCATCATTTTGATTACTTTCAGTATGAAAAGGAGGACGACCACTAGAAATCTCCCATAATAATACGCCAACGCTGTAAATGTCACTCTTTTTATTAAATGAATAAATTTGTGTTGGGCTACTACTATTTCTTCTTCTAAATCTTTGTGGATCAACGTAAGGTATTATTCCGTTTAAATTTGATTGTGATTTAGTTATTTCTTCGATTCTTTTTGATAAACCAAAATCCGCCAACTTGATCGTGTTTTGATGAACCAATATATTACGAGAGTGCTATTAAAATTTAATTGATTAGTATGACACATGACGATATAAAGTATATAACGATGTAAAATAATATGGGAAACAAAAAAAATTACCAAATCACGATGAACTATTCCACTATTATGTAAACATAATACGGCGTAAGCCAACTGATGCGCCAAATTATACTTATCATTCCAAGTGAGGTTGTTAAAATTTTTCTTCAAATAGTCTTGAAGGGTGCCGCTATCAGCATACTCCATCACTAATAAGTAATTATTTTCTATAGACGTAAAACGAATAATTAAATTTACATACATATATATATATACTTTCAATATTCAAACAATATATAATCATACCTGATTCGTCCTTCGTAATTCCATATAAACGAAGAATATTATTATGAATAACTACGTCTCGTTGAAGTTTAAGCTAAAAAAAAACAAAAAAAAAATTAGATAAAAATAAAAAATATTTTACCGAAAATAGGTCGAACCATCCGGAAACTTCCGACAACATTTCGAATTTCGATAACGTTTCTGCGGAAGTCTTCCGGATGAGTCCGGATAATTTCCGAAGTAAAGAAATTACCTCACGAACGATTTCCTTTGTAATAACATTGTTAAGGTTATAAAAAGATTTCAATACTATGTATTCTTTAAAATCTGTACAATTTGCACGGAATACTTTTCCCAAATTTCCAGAGCCTATTTCTTGTATATTACTAAAATTTCTATATTCATAATATTTGAAATATTCTTTGGCGATAGCGGATTCGATCCAATTAATCCATTCATTCGAATTTTTTGTTTCTTGCATATTTCGGTATTGTTAAAAAAAAAAGGATAAGTTTTTTTTTTTTTTTTTTTTTTTGTGCTGACAAAGTTTAATTTATATATTTAATTTATATTATATATTGTGTATACATTATACAAAATTTTTTCGCAAATTATCATCAATTTTCATAAAACGTGTTAGGGAATTTTTAATTTGATACCAAATTTATATATTGTGATACTATCTGGAATTCTGGTCATAATAATTGTTAATTTAGCAAAATTACCATTTTTGAACATCATGTCACACTTTAAATGTTTAAGATTGGCCACTACGTAATTTTCGACTTTTTTAAGGTAAATTGAATTCTTCAAAGTATTTTCTGATTCTCTAAAGTGTTTTCCTTTTTTAATATCATATTCTCAATTCGATAATATTTGTATTGTCATCTTAACTATAATTAGAACAGTTACTTTAATGATATCATGAAATAGAATCTGATTCAGGTGCCTAATCATGTGATACATAAGAGTATATATTTTTTGAATATTTGTCATATTTGTCACGACATGGCCTGACTGCCGCCACTGCCGCCGATGCTGATCAAAATTTTAATTACTACATATAAAGATAATTTTTAAATCTGGTAAATTCTCGAATGATAAATTTGTTTTTATTCGAATGATCGATTTACTATAAACTGATGGCCAAAAATAGTTAATCATTGAAATATGAGGTTCCAGACTTCCAGTAAAAAAAATATTTTTTCGGGATTTAATTATTATTAGTTAAATTTTTCTTTATTGCATTTAGTAAAATAATATTATTTTGTTATTGAGCTACATTTTTTTTTATTAAAAATAAAGAATAAAACGATTTATAGTAATTTTATTTATACGTTTAACATAACTTTACTGCGCCCACTGCTGCGTTAATTTAAAAAAATAAAACATGAATAATTTACGAGTAATATCTAAAAAAAAAACTTTTATTTTATTACTGTTATTAAATATTCTTATTACTAATTAATATGTTATTATTGTTATTATATTTTGGGAAAGTTTAATGAAAATTGAAAAAGTCATACAAATTTAGAGGTAAATATGGTGAATACTGATAACAGAGGAGAGAGTAATTTAAGAATAGTAATTAGAGAGGAATTGTAATTAAATCGTAATTATTAGAAATTATTAGGAAAATTTTTATAGATGGATAATGTTAATAAAATGTACGATTATTAAAATACAAAATAATGTTATACGTAATTTTTTATGGTGGAGAATAGTGTTCTTCTTTGGAAAGTAAGGCCAGAGTACTTTGCCATTACGGAAAGTACAAAGATTTTTAAGATGCGATTAAATTAACGTGCAATAAAATATACACGAGTTTAAATTAAAGTTTGTCGCCGGTTTTCGTCCGTTTTTTGTCCATATTTCGTCCGGTTTTCGTCCGGTTTTCAGTTTTCTTTTTTTTTTTTATTCAATTTAACTGAATACATCATTTTGAAAACGGCGATAACTAGGAAACGGAAAACGTGGAGCGATAAAATTTCTGTCTCTTATACACATCTAGATGTGTATAAGAGACAGATCTATGACTATGAAGCTCTTGCTTTAATTTTCTCCTTCATAATTTTCTACTTCATTTAATTATCCTATTGATTGTTCAAGGTTTTCTCTAATTAAATATGTTCCGTTATATCAAGGTTCCGGTATATCGAATTTCACTGTATATAAGTAAAGTCTGGATATATCGGAATTGGAGTCTGAAATGGATTATTATAATCTATAATTAATTTACCCTCGATATAACGGATTTCTCGATATAGCGGATTTTTGACAAATTTTATTAATGGAACGGATGGTTTCATTATATCGAATTTCAGTGTAAGTAATTAAGTAATTATTAAAGTATTCCTCGTAACTGTCATTTAAAATATGTTTATCATATCGGAAGTAGTTTATGGTAAATCTTTTGTCTTTTTGATTAATTTTGATTTTTTGACTTTGATTCGTAATATAGTATGTATTATCTATTTGGTTATAAAATTGTGTGATTAGCCAAATTTATCGTGACGACGTGACGACCGTGACGTTAATAATGATGATCTCACTTATTTTCTTTTTCTATGATAAAAAAAGTCAATGCAAATCAATTAATAATAAACTGTTTATTTGCGTAAGTTGCGTAAGAAAATATGTTTAAAGACAAAATTTAAATTTTCAATGTAAAATATTATTTTATTTTATGTGGCGTTAATTCATGACGTAGAAATTTGTAATTTAACTATCATTCACGTGTTTCGATTCTAAACGTTTTTCCGATATATTTAGATTAATAAAATGTTCACAGTAGCAACAAACAAATGAGATTAAAAAGAAATGATTCTTCAAAATAGTTACATAGCGGTACAGTAGTTATTAGTCGATTTAGATAGAGTATTATTATTTTTTCGTGTAACAATTGGTATAAGAATTAATAACGTACCCAAAAATTACTATTTTTTTTTTTTTCGTCGGAAATTTTTTTTTTAAAACCATTTTTTTTTTTTATTAAAAATACGAAGTCAACACTTAAATTTCCTATAAAATTTTTTAAGGATGCTACAAAATACAAAATACAAAATTTGGATTCATATGTAATGAAAAGACATATTAGCATAGCAAGCACACATTTCTTTTAAATTATAGATATATTTATATCAGTTCCATCATTATAAAATATAAAATAGCGAAATTAGAAGGTAATATAACAATTTTGCAATATATTTATAAGTATTTATTGAAATGTTAGTTTCTATAGATGAAGAAAAGTATTCGCTTGTTCTTGAATATGCGGACTGTGGAACATTAGGAAAATATCTAAGGGACGATACTATGACTTTTAATTGGGAGAACCAATTAAGATTACAAGTGCGATTTTATGGTTACATGATGTTAAGGGAATCCGTACATGGGGATCTGGTAAATAAAATATTTTGTGTTATCTTACTATATTACGTAATTAACATATTCTTTTTTTAGCATCCCAATAATAGCTTTAATACACCAAGATGCAATAAAATTGTCAGATTTTTGTCGTTCATTTGAAAAAGGAAAGGGCTGTAATGATACTGGAGTATATGGTGTAATACCCTATGTGGACTCCAACATGCTTAATCGAGAAATTTTTATAAGATATTCTGGGAATTAGCAAGTCGCTCATCACCTTTCAATTATGAAACGAGAAACTATCACACTTCTCCTATGTTGGATATTCTTAGTGGTTAAGAGAAGAACCGATTCCAAACACGAATATTAAATTTATTAAACTTTATCAACGTAAGTACAGTTTGCTATAAGTCACTCAGACACATATAAAAATAGGGAAGTACACCATGTGATGAAACAATACACGTGATTTTTCGTGCATTTTACACTAGGAACGTTATAATTTAAACTCAAATGTGATTTTACTAATGGTAAAATTTTAAATTTCCAATGTAGTTTATTTAAAATACAAATTCAAAAAAATTCCAAATTTTTAATTTAACTTGTCCTTAATTAAGTTCACGATTGACTTTTGATTGACTTTTGGCGAAACAACACTAAATCTTAATTGATGCCGCAGTAATTTAACTATCATTCACGTGTTTCGATTTTAAGTATTTTCATTAATTAAAATATCGTATGATAGAAAAAACATTGCGAAGAATGAGTTGAATTTATTATCTACAAGAGGTGAGTTTTAATATGTTGTGTGGAATGAATCTTTGATTATTATAGGTAACCCTATTTTCTATAATCTTTTGATTAAACTATTACACCCTCGTGTGCTTCTTCATTAATATCCTTATCGTAAGTTACATTGTTATGTAGTTTAATTCCCTTTGTTTCCATATCTTTACGCAATTCTTCATATATAAGAAAAATTTTTTCCGACATATTAAAAATTCGATTTCAATAATTATCGACTGAGGTTAAATAACAAAATAGTGTAAACTTTAGATAGAGCTTATAAAAGGTTATTACCGCTTTTTTTTTAAAATTCATGATCTTTATTACGAAGCAGGATTCTGCATTACTTTATATTTAACATCACTACTTTCATATACCCAAAAATTATAGCCCTTGAGTAGCATTAGTTTTACAAAATAAATTTTATCCTGTCTTGTTTATTTATTAAAAGATGTATACCGAAGGATGCAAACTTTGGCTATAAAATGCAAAATTTTCATATATAATGAAAGTCATTTTAGCACAGCAAGCATACATTTTTTATAAACGTATGTTAATTGCATTGTTACAAAATATAAAAATAGTAAAAATTTTTAATAAATTATTTATTGTTCATATTTTTTCTGTTCAAGTAAATATATTCATTATCTTATAAAATATACCGTAATTGATTTACAATTTTACGATTTTAGTGAAAGAATTTCAAAATATTTTTTTTGTGCTTTTTGATATCCTTGTTTGGCGGATTTTTCATACCAATAAATCGCTTTATCTATGTCTTTTGTAATTCCATTTCCACTTTCATACATCAAAGCAAGATTAGATTGTGCTATCATGTCTCCTAAATTTGCTGATTTTTGATATAATTTAAATGCTTTTTGCTTGTCAATTTTAGTTCCAAAACCATTAAAATAACAATATCCTAACGTTGTCATTCCACTTGAATTTCCCCCTTCGACTGATTGCTTAACTAATTCAAAAGCTTTATTATGATCTTTTATGACACCCTCTCCATTTAAATAACAAAGACCTAAATCATGTATGGCTATCATATTTCCATTATTGGCAGCTTTTTCATACCAATAAATACCCTTTATTAAGTCTTTTTCAATGCCTACTCCTTTCATATAATAATAACCAATTTGAAATTTTCCATATGTGAAATTTTTATTAGCCACTTTTTCAAAATATTTAAAAGCTAGTTCATCATTTTTTGTAGTTCCATAACCATATTGATAACATATACCAACAAAAGATTGTGCTGATATATTATTTTTTTCTGATGCATTAATAAATAAATTAAATGCTTTCTCATAATTTCTGCTTGTCTCAATTCCATAAAAATTAAAATATCCAAGTAAAAAAATGGAATTTGAATTATTTTGATTATTTGATAACCAATTATAAATTTCTTGTGAATTTGTATTATGGTTATTAAAATATTCAATAACTTGCTCTTTTAACAATTCTTCTCCAACTCCTTTATTTAATAATTTAAAAACTAAATCAATTATTTCATCAGCTATTATGTTAAAATCTTTTTGAGTTGGAATATTTTCTTGTTTACTTGACATTACTATAGGATCAAATTCTTTAGTATCCATTTTGTCAAAATTTTGGATAAGCTGAGATAATTCTCCTTGTGATTCTGAATTATTGGTACTTAAAGGTGGTGCTTCATTGATTTCTTGCTCATTTGATAATTGAGGATTTTCCGTTATTATATCTGTTTTTGTAATTAAAGCCTTTAACCAATCAACAACTTGATATATGGTAGGACGATTATCTGGTTCACCATCCCAACATTCTGAAAAATACGGTAAATATAATTTGAGATTAATTAAAAATAATATTAAAATTAAAAACTAAATTTAAAATATTACTTACTAGTATAAATTGTTACATATTCCTCAGGTGTTTCAGGAACAATAGTTTCTCTATGGCCTTGTGAAATATCCAAAATTAAACTAACATCATATTGTCCATCTTCAGCATCAAAAGGAGGTCGGCCACTAGATAATTCCCATAATAATACGCCAATACTGTAAATATCACTTTTTTCATTTAATGAGTATATTTGTGTTTGGTTATTATTATTTCTTTTCCTGCTAAAGCTTTTTGGATCAACATAAGGGACCAACCCAAATACTTTGGATTGAAAATTGGATGATGCTCCAATTCGTCTTGATAATCCAAAGTCCGCCAATTTGATCGTGTTTTGATGGACTAATATATTGCCAGAGTGCTATTAAAAGTATATATTAAATAAGTATATACAAATATAAAATTACCAACAATAATAAATAAATTACCAAATCACGATGGACAATCCCCTCATTATGTAAGCAAGATACAGCGCTAGCCAACTGATACGCCATAAGGTACTTATCATCCCAAGTAAGTTTACTAAAGTTTTTTTTCAAATAACTTCGGAGACTACCACTGTCGGCGTATTCCATTACTAGCATATAATTGTTATTAATATGATTTTCTAAGGAATAAAGGGAATAAGTAATCATTAAAAAAATATTTTTATTAATAAATTTGGTACATTTATTATTAAGGTAGAAATTAATAATACCTGATTCAAATTTTGTTATTCCATGACAACGAATAATATTATCATGGAAATCGACTTCACGTTGAATTCTTAGCTAAATAAATTTCAAATTTTTTTAAAAAATAAATATAATATTAAAAATCGCAAATAAAAAAAATTCTTGTACATTAATTACCTCACGAACAATTTCTTTAACGGTGAGATTGTTAAGATTAAAAAAAGACTTTAACGCAAAATATTTATCCAAATTTTTCCAATTTGCACGATAAACTTTTCCAAAACCCCCGGTACCAATTTCTTGAAAGTTATTAAATTCGTCATATTTGTAATATTTTAATTGATTTTTGTCAATAGTTTCTTCAATCCAATTTATCCATTCATTTTTATTCTCAGTATCATGCATTTTGATATTTTCAGACATATTGAATTTAAAAAAATATAAATTGAACGGTAAAGGTTTGTATTTAACTTTAATTAATTTTTTTTTTTTCTCCGATTTATATTCTCACAATATCACTAGTATCACCAAACAAATAAGTCGTCAATCATTCGATATTTTCAACCGCAGTACTGAACTAAGCCGAAAAATTCAGCCGAAGGCGCAGTAAATTTTCGGCTCAGCCGAAAATCGATCTTGAATAATTTGAACTAACCCTATCCGTAATCTTTGTAAATAATAATTTGGAAAATAACAAAATCTAAGCAATTTCATGTTTTAACATGGAATAAAAAAACACGGTACAAATTTTTTAGAGGGAAACGTAAAGTCTTTAAAGTCCTATTCACAGAAAAATCAAGCTAATTCTCTCTAATTGAAAAGTATTATAAGAGTATTGTAAGCGAAATTAAATTTTATTTGCTCATAAAAAAATGAATGTTATATATAGTATGCCAAATACTGTTTCTCCAAACTTTGAATATTACCAGTTAAAATTTAGTACTCAATAGTTACAATGTTACATGATCACACGTGACAAAATGACAAAATCTTAAGCTTAATTTCTTAATCCAATAGCTAAATTACATTTTTTGCTAAATATCCAACATATCATACAACATTTTTCAAGATGTATACCGAAGATGTAACTGTAGAATTATAAATACTGTATAAAATGCAAAATTTTGACTTCATATGTAATGAAAGACCTAGTAACACAGCAAAGCAAATGACGGATTTTTCATACCAATAAATCGCTTTATCTAAATCTTTTGTAATTCCTTTTTCATATTCGTACAATAAAACCAGGATAATATTGTGCTGTCATATTTCCTAAATTTACGTGAAAAGATAAATTCCATTTAGTTCCTTTATTGATTTATTATAACGACTATTCCGTTTTCATTTGAAAGATTCCTATTTGATACTGACATATTATCGATTTTTTTGTATTCATTTTAACAAAATTTTGAATAAGTTGAGATGATTCTCCTTGTGACTATTAAATGAACCTCATTAAGTTCTTACTCATTTGATTTCTGTTATTATACCTGTTTTAGTAATCAATGCTTTTACTGCTTGATACTATAATAGGACGATTATCCGGCTCACCATCCCAACATTTCTAATGTAATTTAAGTAATATAACCAAATAATTTCAAATTTATTTACTAGTGTAAATTTTTAAATAAATCCAACAAAGTGGCTAGATTTACTTTTAATTCGACTCAAACGTACTACTGTACGTGATTGTTTTTTTAATGGCAAATACAGTACAAATACGATTAAATAAATGGAAATACTTGTGTTCTATTTTACATACATGTTTTATATAATAAACGTTCAAAAAATTTTTTTTGAGTGAATATTACTAAATAAATTAATAACAATATGAGATTAGGTAATGTAAAATGACTTTGGTAAAAGTTTTATTGTAATTGTGAAGGCAGTGAAACATTATTACCGACATCAGTTTTTTGGACTAATACGATGATGTATTTAAAAATTAATATATATTACCAATCAAAGAACTGTATATAATTTAATTAGTAAGACGAAGTCACAAATATTTTAGTTTTAAAATTAAAAGTACGACTAATAGTATAATAATATGACAAAACTATAAAATTGTCATCCAATAGTTTTATTCCATTATATTTTAGGGAGCCGTTCAAAATCCCGACAATCAGAATCCCACTACAACACAAACCCAATGCTCACAATCCTGACACTTACTATCTTGACACGCTATTTTTTTTTCTTATTACTTTTTTTTTAATTTATACGTAACGGTAATGTTATTGTAATTTTCTCAAAAAGGATATGTGGTTACGGATTTTCAGGTCGGAATTGTGTCGCAGGCTCGTAGCCCGTGTTTTGTAGTAGTCGGGATTTCGTGGTAAATCCGTTGTATAAAATAGGAATTACACCCCCAAAAAAAATGTCACAAGTTCCTTATAAATTATTAATTCTATGTCGATCATTAGTAATTTTTTTCTGATACCCGGTTTTCATTTCTTTAATAATGCTCTTTATGTAAACCCGTTCAACATCAACATATTTTAATACATAATATTTATCCCAAAGTTTCAAATAGTTTGTTTTTTACCTTTTATTTGACTCCACGCCAGATTCCCATTTTCAACGAATTAACGTAAAATAATATAAATAAAGATGAATTAAACTATATAAAGTATGTTGAAAGTATGTTTCATAAATAGACTTTCCTTAATCATACATCAAATAAAGTATACTGTAAGCCACGCGCTTTCATTCTTTATGAATTTTAAACGCTTAGATAAGGTAAAGACCTGGTTAAGAACTGAGATCCTATCTATTAAAAGTTTATCATATATTATTTATTATCTCCTCCTCAAAATGGTACTCATGGATATCAGTAGTCCTGTGATAGGACAGATTGGTTATGAGACACGTAATTTTTATGCGTGGAGCAACTGGAGCATAGCAAGGCCGTAGTACTTTATCATGATGTCTTCTAAATGTGGTTAACGCAAGGCTAATAAATTACATTAGGATTTTTTTTTTTAAATATCATATTAAGTGATATTCCACAAGACTACATATTTTTAAGGCGTACACATTCTCACCCTTAGAATATTTTTAGCAGATTTATACCAATGTCCTTTAAATTAGTATTAGGCAAAAAAGGAAACAATTTTCATTAATCGGCAAGATATAAAATTTACCATAACTTTAAAATATTGGGGTTTAGACTTTAGATAACTAAATTTAGATCAAATATATTTTGCTAAACATACTGTATATAGTAAAAGAAAATATTGGCATTACCTATCAAATATATTAGAACATGATTAATTTAGTATTGATTTATTGATTTGCATTTAATCGAATTAAACTTTACCTTTGTCACATTCTTAACTTTTATTGTAAATCATTAAATAATTAATAAAACTTTTAGTTTAAATGATATGTTTATCATTTAAATCATATGTCAATTTTCAAATCATTTTCCAAACATTGTTTAGAAATCCATACTAAAAAAAAAAATCTTTTTTAATTATTTAAAAAATTCGTTACAGATGATCATAAACATTTCTCATTCATACTAATTCGAGTTACACACAATAAAAATTTCGAATTTTAATAAGGGGATATCGGGACTCGGGGATATATATTAGGTAGAATCGAGTTGGTCCGGCTCAAATACTTTGTTTTTTTTTTTTAAAAAAAAAAAAAAAATATTAATAATAATTGTATTTTATTATTATTAAATTGAATCAAAAAAAGATAATAACTTGAGAATACCCTTTTACACCATCATAAAGAAATATGCATTTTATGCCAAGTCTATTTAATAAATTACGAACAATATCTCATAAATATTTATTACTTTTTTTGTTAAACACATTCTTTAATTATAATTTATCATTATGTGAAACACACATAACTTCAATGATTCATAGTAGCAAGACTAGTAGTATTGACACGATATTTAGTGTTGACACGAAGATTGGTGTTAGTACAAAGCTTGTTCTTGTCAAGGAGACTGTTATTAGTACAGGATCCGTTATTAGTAAGGCGACTCACCTTAATCCTGTAGGATCCAAACAAGTTAAAGGATTAGGGACTGAAACAATAATCGGAATAATAGCTGCATCAATAACTGTAGGAATAGCATTATTATTTTTATGTGGAAGTAAAGTTGATAATAACAAAAATATCAAAAACAAAAGCAAAGTATAATTTATTATTATCATATATTTTATTATCATATATTTTATTAATTAGATCAAAGCCGATCGGCAACCATGGATTTTTACAATTATCATTATTCTTATTTATAATTTAATTTATTGTATTCATTGATAATGGATTTAATAGTTTTTTTTTTTTTTTTTTTTACTAACCAAAAATTGAGGAAAATTATGACATATATAATCAATTTGAAAAAAAAAAGAACTAGTCGAGCTTTGTACCTGCCGCTTCTTAAACCATTACATTTTATTGGATCGCATTAATTTCACCAACAATCATCTTTCCGATAAACGTATTACCGACAGGGTCTTTTCATAGACAAATGTTTGCCAACGATCATCTACCGACAAGGGAATTTAGGATAGATTAGGTAAGGAAATTAGGGTTAAACAGAGTCCTGTCGGTGAAACGTTTGACGGTCTCCTCTGTCAGACCTCTGATACGAGTAAAATTGTACTCGAGTCTTTTAAATTCAAAAAAAAAAATTTCTTGCTAATTTTACTCAAGAATTCAAGCTTTATTGTTGCTTAATAACGAATCAATACACCCATTATCTATCGATCTATTTATATTATTACACACAGTATATAACAGGCGAATAAATATATATCTATATAGGCAATAAAAAACTTGATATGAATATTATTCTATAATTGTTATACACAACTTACACCTTGAGAAATCATTATTATAAATTTTAAAGATTGGCTTTGCATTTCAGTAGATTTGTATTTTGTAGCTGTGATTACTATGATACCGGAACAATACAAATGAATTATGACGTAATTGAAGAAAATTCACGAGAAATTGAGAAAGAATTAATTATATAAAATTTCGTACAGTACTTGCAGATTATATAAACATGAAGACTGTTAAATTATAAATAATTACCTATCTAATTTTATGAATTGGTCCATAAGATGGAGTTCATAAATGTCCAAAGAGTTTCCCATAATTTATTAATAATTGGTATAGTAGATATGGTAGAAAATGATTAATTAGTCAGGATTAAGAAATATTCGCGTGAATTCCCTTGATGCTTATTTACAAGTTTAAAACCTGATTATTCTAATTATTATGATATGGAAGACGTTGTTCTTACAGCTTGTTCCATATCGAATATTAAAAATCTTTATCAATCATTAGGCCCGATCATTGGCACCTGTATCCTTCAATTGCTCGTCCACGTTGTGTCGGACGAGTCAAGCGAAAAAAACTAATGGAATTGATTCAAAATAAAGCTTATATTTACGTCTTGTGACTTCCTAGAAGCTTTCCATTACTATTTAATATTGAGATACAGAAAGCATAAAGAGATTACAATTTTTTTTTTCACTTGACTCCCAACCCGCTAATATTGATAAAAACTGGTCACCCGTGTAATGCCAAAACTTTAATCCTCGAAAGGAGACTCGTGCCGAAGCCCGGGTAAAGTAATGGTATTTGCTACCCAAATGTGGCTGGCAAATGAGCAGGACACGTGTGACGTCGATTTTGACAAGAGATTCTTCATTAATTTACGAATTATGGAGTTGAAATAAACTGATAAGTTATCAGAAAATTACTGTAAATCTTTCCATAGATATTTGAATAATCTTATAATCTGAAAAAATTAAAGTCTGACCACCGCTTGATGATAACTCATCATAACTGGCTTTCGATAAAACTCGACACTATCCTTTCACGTTTAACAAATCTATTGATATAAACTTACAAAATTTTTACCATGATTACAGCGCGATAGTAAATAATCAAAAAGTTTGCTCTTTAATAATTTGGAATCATGAAAATTTTAGGTAGATCGATCCATGTAATTCCACATGGAATTCCATAAATCCTACGAGGATGAAAATACACCGTGTTCTGTCACAGGGTATATGTGGATTTTTTGCAAAAAAGAATGTTACCTATTTTACTACCTTTTAGTATGATATTGATGAAATCGAGATAGAAGAAGCAATTTATTTCATTTATCTAACGAATCGAATTATTATTTTTTTTTTCCTTAAAAATTATTTAATTTGATGTAATAAATAATTCGGTTTTGTGGTAAATTTGCGTACGGTATTGCGATTGTAAAAAAAAAAAAAAAAAAAATTTGGTCTAGTCATTTCAGTGTTCGGAAATGATCTGGTTATTTGACCATTTAAATGGTTTATGAAATCATTCGTCATTATTCATAATCCATTTGGTCATTTCAATCATTTGATAATACTTATCACATAAATAATCATGTGACTATAATTAAAAAATAATGAATGTAGTGTAGGCAAAAATCATAATGCTGGCCAAAATTCAATGACCAAGGTCAATTGTCATTTGTCATTTGAATCATTTGGTCATTTCAAGTCATTTGCTGAACACTGAGTCATTTGTTTTTTAACAACTAAAAAAAACCCAAAAAAAAACACGCAAAATTTTCAAAACATTTTAATAAGACTTAATCGTGCGGTCTCTAATTTTTTCAGCATCCTAATACGTATTAAATTTTACCATAATTAACCTTTTAGTTCTATTATTAAAATAATTCTTCCAAACGTTTATTCCCGTTAATAGATATTCTATTTCGTAATTGGGAATCATTATGATGGGTCGTGATGTATTAATTCAACGAACCTTCACTATATCTCGTTATCTATTGAATTGTACATTTATTTTATTGTTTCTTATTAAAAACAGATAAATGCACGAAACGTGGGAAAAGAAAACAAATTGTAATTCACAGTCTATGATTAAAATCCAAATCAAAAATGTTCCAAAAAAAAAAAAATCCATAAAGACCAAATGACCAAAAAAACAAAAGAAAAATAAAATCTTCTTAAAATGAAGAATAAAATGATTAAGTATCTTTAGTGTCTACAGTATCTACATACTTCCAACCTCTTAATGTTTCTTTATCTTCTACCAATTGCCATGTTTTCCAATAATGTGAATCAAGTTTCATTGTTACAACGTCTGTAACATCATTACTATTAATAATTTTTATACGTACATATCCACCATTATCATCATCTTCTTCTTCAACTGTTTCTTTCATTTCGTTCTCATATGCATGTATTGCCTCTATAAATGTATCTAAATCTTTCACTTTCCTTTCTTGTATTTCAACAATCCAAACTCCTGGTACTAAAGAAACGTATGCTGGTGAACCACATATCGTATGTGATACGTATACGCCCACTGGCACATTTTTAACTTGTTCCAACACCGCCTTATATGGTTCTTGTATAAGTGCACCTGACCATCCTACAATTCGCGTTGTCTCTTTTCCATTGCATGGTGTTGTTGCTATTTTAAAATTCTTTTCTTCTCTATCACGTAATATTAGCTAAAATAAAAATAAATTGATGAATTTTAAATTTTAATTATGAAAATAAAAAAAAAAAAAAAATTCATAAATACAAAACAATATATTTTCGAAACGAAAAATTATAATAATATTTACCAGATCAACTTCTTTTGAATAATATATAGCTGCGGGTAAATCAGCCATTTTTGTTATAATTTTATCATTAATCGTTAAAACAATATCTCCTACTTTTAATAATTTTCCTGCAGGACTTGCTGAATCAAGTATATTTATTATACTTAATAAATTATGTCTTGAATTTTTTGATGATTCAATTTTTTTAACCCAATCATCCGATAATCCATAATTTTTTGCTTCTACTAATCTTATTGTTCTAAATTCTACATCAAGATTATATAATATTGGTTCTTCACCATTTTTAAGTGATATCATAGTCGGTTTAATTAAAGATATTGGAAATCCTTTTATAAATGAAATTTCTTCCCAATTATCATTTTGTGAAGAATAAGTTAACCATAACCCTTGTACTTTTCCATCTTCTTCGCATAACACACCACCTAATCCAAAGAATAAAAATAATTAATTAAATAATTAAACAAAAATATAACTTATTATATAAATACCTAATAAATCTATCGGATAATCCACTCTAATTTCATCAACATTCATAGCTCTCCATCTTGGAGGACTACATTTTTTTGTGATAACATCTTTAATATTCATTACGGCGGTTTTCTTAATTGTAGGTTTATGATTCTCATAAATTCCTATAGAATAAACCTCATCACCTTGTTCTAAATCCTTATCACTTAATTCAATCGCTCTGATAGGAGTATTCTCCAATAATGTTTTGTCATATGTAATGAATGCACAATTATATATTGGGTGAAGATAAACTAATTTTCCAGGTATCATAATACTATTAGCAAAAGTAATAAAAATATCGCCAATATTAACTGGTACTGTATATCGATCACATACAATTAAAGGTGGTTCAGTAGATACTATCAACCCCGTACCATTAGACTATTATAACATCACATTATTTAAAAAAAAAAAAAAAAAAAAAATGGTTAACAAATCAAAAAAAGAAAAATAATATTGATTTTTGATCATTTACCTCTAAATACCTTAATCCATCAACATTATGCGGGAAAAAACAATTAATAAAAACAAATGAAGGCCAAATTTTTCCAACAGGTTGTAATAGTTCATTAAAAGTTTGAAATTGTGCTGTAACAGGTTCATATGATTGAATGGATACAGGAGGTGGCATTTTCTCATAATTCCATAACCCATTAGTATCTTCATTAAAGCAATTATTTTTTATTTGTCAGATATAACATCCAAAAAGGGAATGTGGATTTTTAAATAGACATACCATCACGGATAGCTACTTGAAATTTATTCCAATGTCGATCTATAAATGCGATCTCAACCATTTCCTTATGAATATTTTGTAAATGATAAAATTTTAATGGTACTCTAGCACCATCAGGTAAAGTTTTCACAGCTTCAATAAATGCGTCCAAATTTGGTGTGGGAATATTATTAATACTAATAAGTATATATCCATTTGTGGCTACATATGTACCTCCAACAGGTTGTGAATAAGAATGAGCGAGCTGATATGATAATTCATTAACAATCTCACCGCTAACCTCAACAAAACGATTTGGTGTTATGGAATGAAGATCCTGAATTTTTATACTAACATCCATCTGAGTTTTACCACGACATATTGTTAATTCTATATTCTCACCAACTGAATCATCAATTATTGAAAATAAATGTGTAAAATTGGTTATAATATTTTTATTTGCACAAATAACAATATCACCGGGTACAAGCAACCCATCAGCCGGTCCTTTTGGTAGGACAATACGAACGACCAATAAACCAGTTTCTTCTGGAAATTTTTCTCGAATTTCTTGTTCAATATTTGCCTTAAGACCCAAATGTCGAAGTTCATCATAAGGTGTATATTCAAATTCTGTTTGTAAAGTTCCACGAGGAACTTGTTTCCCTTCTTGAAGATATTTAAGCGCTCTTTTTACTCTATCTAAAGGAAGATAAAAACTGGATGATGCTATGCTTTCGCCGCCTGCGTTGAGAGCAACGGCGTTACCTTCAATATCAATTACAGGACTACCTGATGATCCACCACTAGTTCCAGATGCTGCTTGAAAATAAAATGTATTAAAATCATTATATTCTCCAATACCATATTCTGGAGCTCTAATTAAAATTAATTATCGGTATAAAAAAAAACTAATTTCGTTAATGATGATGATGATAAAAATATTTATCAACTAAACTTGCCTTCTATCAAGTCTTGCTAAAGTACCAGATAAAATTGATAAAATTTCTCCATTATCATTTCCAGCAACTCTTATTTCTATCCCTATTTTAGCCTTTTCTGGACTAAGTGGAATTTGTTCTAATTCCATGAATTTAATTTTAGATGGATCAAATCTAAAAAATCCAAAATCATGTACTGGATCACGATAAATTGGTTGTAATTCTACTTCTTCATAATCTCTAAAAACAGCTTGAGCAACGATGGGCCCCGGAGACACAACGTGACGATTTGATAAAATAATTCCTCTCTCTTTATCAACAACAAATCCTGTTGCCGAATATCCGCCTAAAAAAAAAAAAAAAANTTTATTTTTTTTTAAAAAAAAAAAAAAAAATTAATTAATTACCAGATGGTTCGGTATCAAAGGTTCTCACATGATTGGCCTTAATAGATACGATGGCTTTTATAGCTTTTTCCAATGTGGTTTCCCAAGAAGGTGCTTCAGTTGATTTTTGTACACTTCCACGTAATTTTATTTTTCTCAATGTTTTAAAATTCAACATTTTCTTCAGCGCAATCTTCTGTGATCTCGGATTATCATGATGTATTTCATTATCACTCATTTGTTCACGGGTTGTCGCAGTTGGAGGATTTGATTTAAAATTTTCAAAGGACATGAGATATTAATTAAATGTTGAACAAACAATTTTATTAAGTAATCAAAAAAAAAAAAAACTTCTTTCAAAAAGTCGATATCAAGATTTATTATTTTTGATAAAATGAATGAAAGAAAAAGGAAAGAAATAAAAAAAAAAAGTAACAAATAAATTTATGATATTACTTTGTCCTATTTTCTTTCAAAATAGTATTATTCTATAGTTTATTTACTGATCAGAAGTGCATAAATGCAATAAATGCAGTATTTATATAGATTTATATCTAGGATCTACGTAAAAAGTTCAATCACTTGACCTTTTGTACCCCTGATGAGTTTAACAAGAATAATTAATCAAGTGATCAACTTATTCCAAAATTAGTAAAAGTAATAAGCAGATTAAAATGTAACAACATAATAAAATTTGCATAAAACAAACAAAGAACCTTAAGACCCTTGTGAAAGCTTCCATAATTAGTTAATATGAATGGATTATTTTTACGTAAATAATGTACTCACAAATAAATTGTAATACTGGAATATAAATATTATTTTATATTCCATTAATATTCTAGACGGCGGATTGACAATGGATGAGTCGTACAAATTACGTTTACTGCCAATGCGACTTGTAGAATGAGTTTCCTTTTTTACTTTAAACTTATAGTAAATGGTTAGGAATGGTTAATAAATTAAATGATCACAAATATATCACAAAAAAGGGAGATTGTATGATGATAGAAATACAGTATTTAAAAAAAAAGTTTGATCCAATTTGTTGTCATTTGCAAAAAAACTTTCTCATCCAATTTTTTGTCAATTCAAAAAAACTAAAATTCGAGAAAAAGTTGTAAAATATGGCAAATTAATATTGTAAATTATTATTAAAGAGATTTTTTGGTAACTTATAAGCCATTTATATTTATTAACGTTCCGATATAAAAATTAAATAATAAACGAAACGTTTAAAACGGTTCAAACGTTTCGTTGAATGGCCATTATGATACAATTAAAATGTTCGAAACAAGTAGAATTTCGAACTGAATTTATTTTAACTTACTAATATATCCAACTTTCCTTCGTTTCCTTCATATTATTTGATAAAACGAAGGAATCAAACCTTCGGTTTTTGGATTTATTATATCCGGTTCGTTCGTTTTATTTGAATTTTAATTCGAATTGGGGGAACCGGATTTTAATCCTAAGGTCGAATAACGATTCCAACCTTTAGGAACAAATCTTTCTAATTCAATATTTTGGTAAAAACGCAACAAATAATAAAATGGAATCTAATGATTTAATGATTCTGGTTAAATAATTTAAGTTACTAACAGAAAAGCATTGATAATAGTAATAATAATAGGACACGAAATATATAATATAAAGGTCAGGAAGCCAAAAAATTTTAACTACACATTCAAGGAACTGAAAATTTTCATGATTTTTTTGGCTGGTTACCGTACGCAAACTCAAACTTAACCTTTTTATGTATATTTCGAGGTTTTATAAAAATAAATAATCTTAATGCCAATAACAATAGAGCTTTTCAGGGCTTCGCTTCAGAGGAAATTCGCTAGCGGCATATTGATAGAAGTGAAACTTAAATTCAAAATGATCAACATATAAAAGTAATGACATACGAAATCTTTTGTTTATATAACATGGTTTCAGTTTATTTCGCGTCATACTCAATATTAGTTATTTTTAATAATTTATGAACATTAAAAATAATGATGTATCTGAAACATACAACTTAAAAGGGGTTTAAGTTCCTGCTTTTATAAAAAAAAAAGATGGAATTTAAATTTTATTAAACTATGCAAAATGCAGTTAATGCAGTTAATGCCAAAACAAATAAAATAGTTTGTTTCTCATTAGTAAATAATTAGTAATAAGTCATAACAGTGTCACGAGTCACGATAAAATTTTAGATAAACAATATTCTCAAGGAAACTGGTTAAACTTTGTTATTTACTTTTATGAGAAACTAACTATCTGGCAATAACAAAAAAATTTTATAGAAAAGTTGCTGAGATTATTGAATTATTAATGTTGTATATAAAGTATAGTAATTATTAATAAAAAGTACGATGCAAAAAAATTAGTGTCGTGAAATATTGATGATATTGGTTTCGCGAGAAAATATTGGCGGACCTGCAGTGGGGACTGTGACAAAAAGAATGATTAAAAAACAATATAATAAGTCGCATAAACCCCTGAACTACATGTTGTATCCAAGGGATGGCTCATGTTATTCCAGATATAAGATATAACGACCGAAACTCCCCGAAGGTCGTAATTTTTAATTCGATTTCAAACATTTTAAGTTTTAATTTCAATGTAAGTTAGTTTAGTATTTCGAATGACATAGTGGTCTAACAATTGTGTATGCAAATTTATCCATGTGAGTTACTAGGAAACACAACATTGCCAATAAAAAAAAGACAAAATCCGGGGAATAATGCTAGAATAGTAGCAATAGTAAGCGATGAGATTGGATAGATCTCACGATTGCAAGGCTAAGCCTTCTCCAGAGTTAGTTAGTGCACTAGCGGACGTTACATCTGTATTTACAACGCCAATAGCCCTGTTCAATTTCGGTCAATTGCATTTTTCGGCCATATGCAAAATAAACTATCCTATTAGTGAAACACGTTCGACCGAAATAAAACCACAATTTTTATGAGTCAAAAGGACAAATGTTTCATGTTTTACGCAAAAAAATTAGACAAATCAACCTGGCCAAAAAATGCAATCGACCGGGATTGCACAGGGCTAACATGCATGTTTTTTCTAAATAGGGGTTTATGAAAGTTCGCTGTAGATTTGACATACATTACTGATTTTGTGACATGGAGGTACAGTTTTAATCACTAATAATGGGTACATTAATTGGATTGGTCGTTGAATTGAATGGGATTGGATTCTTGTACAATCCACAATCCAATCCATATTCACAAAAGATCGACAGCATAGAACCCTGAATAATTAAAATAAGTCCAATTGAATCTATAGGATCAACTCTATTAATCCATCAATAAATATTGAATTGTCGATCAATACAAATCCAATCCGATAGAACAAATGCTTTTTTTTTAAAAAAAAAATTTCATCATAACGCTCACCAGGGGTAAAAATCACAAGGGTAAAATCACCCCAGTATTCACCTTTATCATATCTGATATTACATAATTTATATTTATTATATTAAAGTTTAAATTTTTTCATCAGTTTAGAAAAAACAAAAAAACTAAAAAAAATCTAAAAATTTTTATACAGTACATTATGTAAATTAAGGTGAAATTTATCTTTAGTGAATTTCACCATATAATATTGGAAATTTTATGTAAATCAAGGTGAAATTCACCTTTATTAAAATTTTACCAAAATTTTATCTCTTAATAAATATTTATATAAATTAGGGTAAAATTAACCTCTGGTGAATGTAAAATTAATTCTTCAAATAAATATTGGTTTTTAAAAAAATTTTTTATGTTTTACAGTATAATGGAAGAAATTTATGATAATTCTTTTTCTTATATATCTGATTATTCTGATATCTCAGATACAAGATTTCTGTTAATTTATGAGTATTGTAAGAATACAGTCAAACCTTTATATAACGATATGTCGGGACATATATGTATAAAATTTTTAGAAAATATCAAAGTTATACCGATATTTATATGTCTTCACATATAGTAGGAAAATAAAATTTTATCGGTATATCAAGTTTTTGATAGTATATCGGTATATCGAATATCGGTATATCGAGGTTAGACTGTATACAGTATATATATATAAATTCATTTTAAAATAATATATTTTATTATTTAACCAGAAAGCTCTCAAACACTATTGACAATAATTATGGTTCTAAGAGTTCTAAGATAATTTGTTTTCCATTGAACATTCAATATGACGACATCAGTTGAGGATTTGCCGATAATATGGGAAATAAAATAAATTTAACCAAATGTACCATATAGAACTGAATAAAATACCTTATTTAAAAGATTGAATTATACCCGGGTATTTTGTATGGAACATGAAAAATTGGTTGGAATTAGTCTAATTTACCAGAATTAAAAATTTTTTAACCACATATTATACCCGGGGTATATTATAATGGATAGTCAGTGCTATACGGTATTTGAAGGTTATGCCTTACGGTGTCCAGTCCGATGATCTTCCTGAGTCCAGTCATGTTAACTTTTAGCACAGTCATGTGAATTTGGGTCCGGATCATCGGACCTTGCGGTCCAGTAGTGATTCACTTAAAATTACTTGGGTATAGAGCTTGATCTACACAAATTTTTTTTTTTTACCGTTCGCTTTATAATGAGAGTTATTATAAAAAAATTTTTTTACTATTAAATATTTAATGAGATAATGGTTTTAGTAATGATNTTATTATAAAAAAATTTTTTTACTATTAAATATTTAATGAGATAATGGTTTTAGTAATGATATAGTATAAATTGCTAGGAACCTCTTGCTTCAATAATAATTTAAGAAGCAATTAATTTTTGTTAAAGTTTTTAATCATTTTATTGTATAAAAAATGTTTATTTAAATCTAAACTAATAATTATTAAATACAAGAAAAAAAATAAAATGCAGATCGGTCATGTAAATTTAGTTCGGTCCGATTGATCAAATCACAGGACTTAGCACAGTTAATTCAGTCCGATGGTAGCGAAGTCCGATCAAAGGTCTGCATCAAAATTCACATGACTGTGCTAAAAATTTACATGACTGGACTCTGAAAAATCATCGGACCGGACTCAGTAAAGATATTTGATATACACAGTATATACTGAAAGGACAATAATTTTATGAATTTATGATGTGTAAAATATTTATATGGCTCTTGTTATTCTAATAATGAATATCCATTATATCAATTAGCATAATGTCTTTATTGACGATAATGACTATCCGAAAAATCATGATTAAAAGAATTCTTATATCAAAATTTGCAAAATACTTTTAATATAATAGCATTAATAAATATTACCCT